TGGCTGTTTATCAACTTTCTCTCAGTGAAGTCTTTCATAATCACCCTATCTAAAATTATAACTTTAGGGCCAGCCCGTGGCTCACTCGGGAGGGTGCGGTGCTGATAACACCAAGGCCCCGGGTTCGGATCCCATATAGGGGTGGCCGGTTAGTTCATTGGGTGAGCGTGGTGCTGACAACACGAAGTCAAAGATTAAGATCCCCTTATTGGTCATCTTTTTGATCTTAATCTTTGACTTCGTGTTGTCAGCACCACGCTCACCCAATGAACTAACCGGCCACCCCTATATGGGATCCGAACCCGGGGCCTTGGTGTTATCAGCACCGCACCCTCCCGAGTGAGCCACGGGCCGGCCCATTGGTCATTTTTTTTAGAAAAAATAAATAAAATAAAATAAAATTATTACTTATCTCTTCCTTCCATTCCCACCAGCCCACTTCCTGCTTTATTTTTTTCTCCATATTTCCTTCAGACTGATCACTATCTTACTTTTGTAAGAGTATATGTACGTATACATGTATATTTACCATTACAAGAATTACGAAGACAGGAACTATATTCTCAGCTCCTAAAACAGTGCCTGGTCCATAGGAGCCCTCTTTAAATAACTTGCGCATAAATAGATTTCATCAATATTTATTGAGCACCAAACTCATTGCTGTAGATCCTACAGCATAGGAGATTTTATTAAAAGACACATAAAAAGTCTGAAATATGTCATCACAAAAGTGCCTTCAAAAAAGTTAAAAAGCAGTGCTCACTTCGGCAGCACACATACTAAAATTAGAACGACACAGAGAAGATTAGCATGGCCCCTGCACAAGGATGACAAACAAATTCATGAAGCATTCCATATTTTTTTTTAAAAAAGTTAAAAAGTAAATTGAAAAGTTCATTGAAAAGACCCCTAAAACATAGTCCCTGACTTTCAACCTGTTTAAAGAAATAAGACACAATTAACAACATTACACGGCAGAAATAATAACTGCTCATAGAGTGATAAGAACTGAAATATCTTGGGCCGAGCCCATGGCACACTCGGGAGAGTGCGGCTCTGGGAGTGCAGCAGCGCTCCCGCCGTGGGTTCAGATCCTATATAGGAATGGCCGGTGCGCTCACTGGCTGAGCACGGTGTGGGCAACACCACACCAAGGGTTGCGATCCCCTTGCCAGTCGCGGAAAAGACAAAAAAAAAAAAGAACTGAAATATCTTAAGTGGGGTGAGAAAAGAGTTCAAATCTGTCCCTGCAAAGAAAATCTGACTTGGAAAATCAAGGATGGTTTACAGAAGAGGGAACAATTGAGCCGCTTGTTAGAGACCAAGCACAGCAGAATTTTCAGGTAGAAGAAAAAACACGGGCAAAAGTAGAAAAAGTCTAGGGACACTTCCAGGAAAGTCCAGAGGAATTCTAGGGATACTTATTGATTTTGAATAGTGTTTCTTCTGCATTGAGTTTTTCTCTCCTCCAGCCCACTGTTGAAGAGGAATATAGTTTCATAGCCTCTACATTTTCCAGCCCTGGAAGTGAACTCAGATCTTTGCTGGCACAGAAAAAAAGACCTTTTCCTTTCATAAAGGCCTCACATGTAAAAGTTGACACTATCTCCAAATGCATTCGTTATACACTGAGTATATACTCCATGTGTTTGAAAGTATTTAACAACAACAACAAAAAAGAAAGTATTTAACAAGTTCTTTGCCTTTAAAGAAAACAGGACCTTCAAAAAAATTGTCTCAGGGGCTCACTTTACCTCTGAGAGACTCTCCCCAGACGTCCTGTGCTACACACAGGCACTACCCTCAATTGCTTGAACACTCTTTGGACTTTCACACCTCAGTACCTTTGCCCTGGTGGTCCTTCAAGATCCAACTCCAAATCTGTAAACCTTGAAGATGCCAAGCCTTGAAGAACCTAGACACCAGAAAATATCATTTTGTTCATAGCTGTTATATCAGCCAACCCATGGTGGTATAAATTAGCTCTCAACACGTTTATTAAATAAATGGAAGTCCTTCTAAGCCTTTGAGGGGCTTGGAAACTGTTATAGGGAACAGTTGACTGTCAGAAAAGCAATTAAAATATTACAAAAAACAGTAAAAAGCCTACAAAGTGTCAAGAAATTCTTTGTATTAATAATTATTCTTAGTGTCTACTAGAAAATAAATAGCTCAATGCCTGACCTTCTTTTCCTAACTATTCCCCTAAATCAGTGGTTTTCAAAGAGTAGTGCCCAGGTCAGCATCATCGGCATCGCTTGGAACTTCTTTGGAAATGCAAATTAAATTTGGAAATGCAAATTTTCAGGTCCTGACCAGACCTACTGACTCAGAAACTGAGGATGAGACCCAGTTATCTGTTTTCACAAGCTCTCCAGGGTGATTCTGATGCATGTTCAAGTTTAAGGATCATTGACCTAGATCATTGTTTATTCTAGGTTTTACAATGATCCTTGCCAACTTCAATAAACCTCCTTTATTATAAAGCCCAGTTCCGGGCCGGCCCGTGGCTCACTCGGTAGAGTTCGGTGCTGATAACACCAAGGCCCCGGGTTCGGATCCCATATAGGGATGGCCGGTTCGCTCACTGGCTGAGCGTGGTGCTGACAACACCAAGTCAAGGGTTAAGATCCCCTTACCGGTCATCTTTTAAATAAATAAAGCCCAGTTCCCACATCTTCCCTCAATTTTTAGATCAACATGGGCAATCAACTGGAGAAGAAATGAGAGACAGGAACAGACGTGTTGAGGAAATTATATTTTCTGAGCGAGAGAGAAAAACTCGATTAGAGTAATGGGAATGGATGTGGAAGGGATCCAGAAACCCCAAACATTTCAGAGTGGCGTCAACAAAGTTTAGTGAGAGCAGTACTGGCTGAGAGTGAGGGTGGAGATGAGGATGACTTCAGAGATTCCTACCTTGAATGCTTTTGTTGGTTGGTAATGCCTTTAATAAAAATAGGAACTCTAACAGGTATAGAAAGTTTGAGGGGGACAGATAATTATCTCAGCTTTAACCTTCTTTCTGAGTGAAGATGCCAGTTTTCTTTTCTTTCTTTTTTTTTTTTAAGTTGACTGGTAAGGGGATCCTAACCCTCGACTTGGTGTTGTCAGCACCAAGCTCTCCCAAGTGAGCTAACCAGCCATCCCTATATAGGGATCCGAACCCGTGGCCTTGGTGTTATCAGCACCACACTCTCCCAAATGAGCCACAGGCCGGCCCTGAAGATGCCAGTTTTCAGATAAACGTTCCCTAAAAAGTCAGGCTGGGGAATAAGACAGGGATTGGACATATAGATTTGGGAGGCGTGCTTATAATGTGATAATTGAAGACTTGAAAACAGTATTGCTGAAGGAGAAAACTTAGATAAACAAAGGGACTGAGACAGTTCTTTGGAGGGCACTGTGTTTGCAAGATAGGAAGAACAGACTCCAATGGAGAAGGACGAGAAGAAATCAGAGAGGCAGGGAGACCAGGATTACGAAGAATCACCAAAGTCAGGCAAGGAGAGACATTCCAGAAAGAGCAGATGGTCAGTAATGTCAAATTCTGCAAACAATCTGAGAAGGCTAGAGATAAAACCCCCCAAAATTATTTGATAAACTAGAAAATTAGAAATAGTATTCAACCATGCTGTTTTAGGGCAAGTAGCACAGGTAGGCTCTAGAGGTTGAAGAGACTGAGTGGTAAGAAAGGTTGAGGCAGAAAAATGGATTTGGGTAACTGCTAAAGGGGACCATCAGGGCACTGAGGGATTTTTGAGGTAGGGCAGATAAATTACAACTGAGGGATAAGATTGAACACCTGATGAAGGGGTTTGGATGAAGATGGATGACTGAAGACTCAAGTCAACATTCAGCCAAAATTTGCCAGCATGTAACAATAGGCCAGATCTTATAATTATGAAATCTCAGATGCGAAGGTAAATTTAGAAGTCATTCAATATCTCTAACGTTTGATTCAGCAAGAAATTACTTGCTAGCCTTGCTTTGGGAGGTGGGATAAGGATAGTAAGATAAATAAGACATAGCCCCTGACCCCAAGTTGCTCACAATGAAGTGGAGATACATAAGCAGCGGTCGGTAAAGCATAAGCGATAAGTGGTTCTGAGTCAGTTTGTCTGGGTGTTACCTTGTTACCACCTCTTACTGGACACTCCAGCTGGGCCCAGTGGCCTTAAGTAGCTATCACCTGCTGTAAAGTATCTGTCCCATAGGGTTGTTGTGATCATTAAGTTAGGTGATCTGTGTTGACTGACTTTTCACCACTCTTTGTTTTTGTTTCCTTTTTGGGGGGCGGCTGCCCGGTTACAGGGATTGAACCCCCAATCTTTGTATCATCCGCACTACGTTCTAATCAACTGAGCTAAACGGCCAGCCCTCTATGGGCTGACTTTCTTTTTTTTTTTTTTTTTAAAAAGATGACTGGTAAGGGGTCATCTTTTAACCCTTGACTTGGTGTTGTCAGCACCACGCTCACCCAGTGAGCTAACCGGCCATCCCTATATGGGATCCGAACCCGTGGCCTTGGTGTTATCAGCACCGAACTCTCCCGAGTGAGCCCGGGCCGGCCCCTGGGCTGACTTTCAACCATGAGGATTTTACATTTACAAGTAAAGAAGGTACTTAAAAAAAAAAAAAAAAGGGCCGGCCCGTGGCTCACTTGGGAGAGTGCGGTGCTGACAACACCAAATCAAGGGTTAAGATCCCCTTACCGGTCAGCTTTTTTTTTAAAAAAAAGAAAGTACTAAGGAGTGGATGCTGAAGCAGACATCCTCAGGTGTTCACCCCTCCCACCCCGAAGTTGACCCCACCCACACCTGCCTGGCCGGACTAGCTGTATCGTTGAGCATGCGCACGGGTAGCCCTGAGCCAGGATATGCAGACACCGCCGCCAGGTGGCTCCGCTAAGTTGTGGCTGCTCTTCCGTGTTCCCAGGGGCCTGTATTGGGACGTAGGGGCGGGCACAAGCTCCGTGCGCATGCGCGCGCCGTGCTCGTCAGGCCGAGATGGCGCCAGTGGAGCACGTTGTGGCTGACGCCGGGGCTTTCTTGCGGGACGCTGCTCTGCAGGTACGAGGAGCTCTGGCCGAGAGGAGCGGGGTATGGGCTGGCGGCCACTGAGGGAGCGCGTGAGATCGGGCGGGCATTGCGTGGTGCGGACGAGTGTGACCTGGGCTCTCCTCGCAGGACATCGGGAAAAACATCTACACCATCCGGGAGGTGATCAGCGAGATTCGGGACAAGGCCACGCGCAGGAGGCTCGCCGTCCTGCCCTACGAGCTGCGGTTCAAGGAGCCCTTCCCGGAGTACGTGCGGTTGGGTGAGTGCCTCTGCCCCAGCATTGACGGGGAAGCTGGGGCCCAGGGTGCAGGCGGGACCCGGTTGGGTGCGAGCTGGGGTCTGGCTGCATTATCAGAGCAGTTGATAGAGACAGCATGTTCTAGGAGATCGTGGTGGAGGAGAGACTTGCTTGGTCCGGAGTCAGCCGGGCCTTGCCAGTAAGTAGCTGTGCGCTCTAGGGTGTATCACCTGGACTCTGGGCCTTTTCTCTTAAATGGGAATAATAATAGTACCTACCTCCGAGTTTGCTGTGAGCATTCAGTGAGGGATATGTCACTCAGCGTAGTGTCTTGCCCTTTGCAAGCACGCGGTAAATTTGTCTGGATTCAGGGCTGGCCGGTTATCTCAGTTGGTTAGAGCGCAGCCTTGTAACACCAAGATCACGGGTTCAAATCCCTGAACCCGGCCAGCCACCAAAAAAAAGGTGTTAGGATTCAAAATAGAAGAACCGGATATCTTATTCTCGTTCATTTCTTGTAAGTAGATTACTGTAGTGATTGTTTTGGATATTAGGACTTGCGTTAGACCTGGAAGAAAACTAAACAATTATTTCTTGGCTCAGGAGTCAGCGCTGTTCTCTTGATCTTGGGATCAAGACAAAGATATCCAGGAAAGGCCTTCAGTAGTTGCAAATGTTTTAGAGGTTAGAGGGTGACAGTGGAGATGTTGGTACCTCCACTGAAGTAGTTTGTGACTTCTGTTGCTTTCTCCACCGATTTTCTAGCTGTGTGATCCTTGCCAAGTTACTTAATCCTTCTAAGGAAATACTAATAGTACTTTACAGGATGAAGTGACTTAATGTAAAACTATTAACACAATACATAGTACATAGTAAGTGCACAATAAATTGTAGCTGCTGTTAATTAATATCTGTTTTTTAGGAAATGTGTGCTGTGTACTTACTGTTCCTAGTGTCAGTATAGCAGAAGATATCTTTCTGTTAATGTCAGAAAACTTTAAGTGTTTATTGTTGATGTCTCAGGAGAATAACAGTAGTAACAGCTGGCATTTACTGTATATGAAGCATAGACATCTTTTTTTTTTTTTCCAAATACGATTAATTTGTTATGGAGCAACCCAATATTTTTCTTTCATCATAGACTATAATAATTGGTTGGATTAATCTTCCATTCCATTTTGGAATCATCCATTCTATTATCTAGATTGTTATACTTAGAGAATTCTAGAACTGTGAGAAGAGAGCTTCTATTCTAAAATAATACCAAAGCTTTGATAAGGAACACTCGTCATGTAAAAATGTTGTACTAACTTTCAATGACTTTGTTTTGTTCCTTTACCTGACTTGATAAGGATGTTGCAGTAGACCTAACTGGCATGACTCTTGGTGGTAGAAAATACAGATTTCTACTATAAGTAGAAAAAGGTCAGAAGGTTTTTCAGAGGATATTGATCCTCTCTAGTTCTTTTGATACTTTCATTATGGTTATCGAAGGTCATAAGGCTTTTTGCCTGTAACTGACGTTGGAAATCTCTTGTTTACAGTGACTGAGTTTTCAAAGAAAACTGGAGATTATCCCAGCCTCTCGGCCACAGATATCCAAGTGCTGGCACTCACCTACCAGTTGGAAGCAGAGTTTGTTGGGGTGTCTCACTTAAAAAAAGAACCAGAAAAGGTAAATCGGGAGGGTTGAATCTTTTAAAAACTTTTTTATCATGGGAACTATCATACAGATATAAAATTAGAGGGAATAGTATAATGGACCCGGTGTTCCCATCATCCCACCTCCACAGTTATCTCACAGCTAATCTGTTTTTATCTATACTGACACACAGCACAGCTCAGACATCATATAGATAGATGTTTCTTGGAGTGTCTTTAAAAACAAAGACTCTTAACATAATAACATCAAAGCCATTATTACACCTAGATGAGATTAATAGTAATCACTAATCCCATCAAATATCCAGTCAGTGTTCGCAATATTCAGTTACTCAATTTAATTTTAATTTTATTTTCCTTTGTGTTTTTTTGGTGCCTGGCCGTACAAGACTATGCTCTAACCAACTGAGCTAACTGGCCAGCTCTATTTTTATTTATTTATGTAAAAAGATCTCAGTTGGGCCGGCCCGTGGCTCACTCGGTAGAGTGCGGTGCTGATAACACCAAGGCCGCGGGTTCGGATCCCATATAGGGATGGCCGGTTTGCTCACTAGCTGAGCGTGGTGCTGACAACACCAAGCCAAGGGTTGAGATCCCCTTACCGGTCATCTTTTTAAAAAAAAAAAAAAAAAAAAAAAAAAGATCTCTGTTGGCTTTGTTGTGATTCTAGAATTGGGCAACATGTTATTCCATAAGATAGAGTGTGTGTTCCCTATAAATTTTCTGAATAGTTTATTTGTTTGGATCAGGATCCAGATAAGTTTCATGCATTGCAATTAGCAAATGTACATCAGTCTCTTTTGATCTGTAGGTTCTTGGTAAAAGTCTAAAATGCTAAAATACAGATTTCTGCATGTTGCCATACTGTTTTTGGAGGGGGGAGGAAGTGGTGAAGGGAATAGAAATGGTTCTGTGTTCAGTGTACCTAGTAGCTGGTTTGTCATTTGGCATCCATCAACCCATGATTTCTAAAAGCCATTGTTTCCTACAGTTGTTTTAGCAACAGTTAGATGTTTTGTATCAAAAGCTTTAAAACAGCATATCTTTTAGCCAACAATTTCACTCTTAGGCATTTATCCTAAGGATATAACCAAAGATACTTCCAAGTTTTACAAATAATGATGTGCGTTACAGCTGTATTTATAATGACAAAAACCAAATATACGGAAATGATTATTTAGTGGTATTGAGACCACTTTAATATTGTCATTTTTTAAATATGTTTTTTCCAATATTTTAAACATTGGATATCTTTGATTTCAATAACTAAGGGGAAAACATTTTTGTTTTTTTGTTTCTTTAAAATTACTGTTCCTATGTTGAATTTTCAAACTTTATTACCTTTCTCAGGGCTGTCACTTTTTTTTTCCTTTTTTTTTTTTTTTTTAAGGCTAAAGTGAGCTCATCAATTCAGCACCCAGAAACTCCTCTACACATTTCTGGTTTTCATCTGCCCTCCAAGGTAATTCCTTAGACCAGCCAGGCTCTTCATGCTTTGTTCTGCAACTTGTCACTTCTCCACAAGGTGTCTGTTGACAGTGAACCACATTCACCTGGACTGATACATAGTTTGTCCAGCACTCTCTGATCTGACTTGTATGTCATATGTGATTTCATCTGTAACCCTCTCAGTATTTAGGTTTTTAAATTATTATTATTTCTTTTAATCTTAGCCTACACCCCCACAAAAAACGGTAGATCATGGACACCCAGCAAGTGAGCCTGAGAACCTAGAATTCAGTTCCTTTATGTTCTGGAGAAACCCTCTGCCTAATATTGATTGTGAACTACAGGAGCTGCTGGTAAGGACCTGACTTAGGCTCTCCTCCTGATGAGAACAAAGTAGTTTCTTCCCACTGCTCCTGTGGCCTTGGGAGCTTGTGAATTCTTTTGATGTTTCAGTTTGACAGAGGTAAGGATGTTCCAAGTGAGGAAGAGGAAGAAAATGGATTTGAAGAAAGAAAAGACGAGGACAGTGATGATGACGGGGGTGGGTGGATAACCCCCAGCAACATCAGGCAGATCCAGGAGGAGCTGGAGCAGTGTGACGTACCGAAGGATGTGCGGGTCGGCTGTGTGACCACAGACTTTGCCATGCAGGTGGGTGGGCTGGGCACGGGCTAGCCCTGGGCTCTTTGTCATTCAGGTCATCGGCAATGGTCCTGCGTAGGTTTGGGGATGTGTACAGAGCTGCTGTTGTGTAATGCTTCTTTTTCTGGTTCTGAAAACTACCTGTGCTCTTTGGTAAGTTTGATGTTTTCATGATCTGTTGATGCCTTTCTTTCAGTGTATAGAAGTTCTATGCTCAGAAGGTAGAGAGGGTTTCCAGCCCAGAAATGACTGTATTTGCTCCTGACAAAATAAGGGTCTCTGTTGAGAGAGATTGCTAATGACAGGTCTTGGTGAAATAATGAGCACAGATCCCAGTACTTGGGATTAGGGAGAAACATGGGTCACTGTCCTTGTTTACATGTTTTGGGAGGGATCCCAAGCTGACTTTGCTTAGCAAAAAAAGCCAAGGACTATGAGCTAAACCGGGGTTTCTGAAGTTCTCTTAACTGTGATTACAAACTTAAAAGGAAATTCAGTTCAGTTCTTGTGGGTTGTAGAACGTTCTGCTGCAGATGGGGCTGCACGTGCTGGCGGTGAACGGCATGCTGATCCGCGAGGCCCGCAACTACATCTTGCGCTGCCATGGCTGTTTCAAGTACGTAGCTGATAATCTGGACCCAGTGCCCATCTGTTAAACACTCTTTTTCTATCCCTTCTACAAAATTCTTGGAAGAGAATCCTGCCTTATGTACACATATTCCTTCTACGTCGTCATTGCTATGTGGCCTAGGTGCTGCCTCCACAAGGGTACCAAAAGCCCTGGGACAGAGGTCGCCAGTGACTTCCCATCTAATCTCAGTGGCATTAGGGTTAAGTATGTGGGTTCTGGAACAAAGAACCCTCATTCTTCAGAGATAGATACTGAAGTGTGTTTGGAGAGAATGGTATCTGGCATTTACTGTGAAATAATACACAAGCAGAAACAGTGGCTGGGAGTAGAGATGAAACAAGGTTGGCCATAGATTAACAGTTGTTGAACCAGGATGATGGGTCCAAGGGGGGGCTTATTGTGCTCTTCTGTCTACTTTATGCTTGAAATTTTCTGTTTGTTTAAAAAAAAAAAGTGAATCTGGATTCAGAGTACATGGGTTCAAATCCAGATTCTATCTCCTACTATCTGTTCAGTTTTGCAGAAGTTGAACAGATTCTCCTTATCTGGGCTTCAGATTCTCCTTAAAATTGAAAGTGTTGTGAGGAACTAGAAGTAAATCAGATGAAGGACTTAGCACAGTATCTGGCACAAAGGTTATAGTCTGTTCCCATGAACCATTAGTTTATTGACCACTCCCTTCTCCCATTTCTTTCCTGACTCTTGAATTGGCTCTTCTTGGGGTGGGGGCTTGAATTCTGTGGGGAGGTCTCTGGGATCCTGGAGACCCTCGGGTTAGAGTGGAAGAGACTACACTGTGGCCTTGCTATTGAAGTGTGGCCCGGAGGACTCCTGGCGTGGCTTCTGGCCACTCCACAGTCTCAGTCTGGATTTGGTGGTCATCTCGTAGATCAGCTGGTAGAGCCCCTGATTGTGGAGGCCTGGGTGGAACATTTCTGAAGCATCGAGGTGTCCCTCACTGGGTCCCCAGAGCTGTTCCACTGAGGGTGGTGTTGCCTGGATGGAGCCTTGTTCCCTTGAAGGCTTAAAAATAACCAAGTCACTCCTGGCTTAGGGCCCAGGTTTGCCACCATCTTCTGCAGTTCTGCCAGTGACTGGATTAGCCATTCCTCAAAGCTGCCTCTGCATGCTTCTGAACCTTAATGTAATTTTTCTTTTGCCTAGTGCTGAAATGTACTGGGCTCATGACAGTAAAGCTCCTTGCTTCATAAAATCTCATTTCCCCCATTGTCCTTTGTTAAGAAGCCTTAAGCTCCCTTAAGTTCTAAGAACACACATTCTTAGAAAAGCTTGGAAATGTTCTCCATTCTTGTGAGATTAGTCCCAATGACTGGTCAGTTTCTTGTCAAGATTAAATAGTTCCCAACACCTGTTTAGAGGCACTTAGTCACTCTCAGGAGACTTGTGGGTAAAGGATTTGGCTTCTCCAGCCATTTCATGCACCTCTTGTCTCCTGACCATTGGGAATTGATGGAGAACTCCCAGAGGACAGGGACCAGGGCTACTGCTTGGCACTTGACAGCAGCAGCTTTTTCCTGTCCAACATCCACCACATGGGCTTGCAGAGATAGGAGGGAATCAAGGCCTTGGGCTGCCCTCAACACCCACGCCCAGTTCAGCCGTGGCAGCTTTCATAGCATTGCCTGTCTAATTCATTAGTAAATTATTGCTACCTCCAGAGCCGCCTCCTGGGTTAACACCCAGACAGACATTTGGGAACACGGTAGGCAGAACCATGATAATATACCCCTTGAGGAGGTACAGTGATGTTAAGAGCATTGGTTCAGGAGCTGGACAGCCTGGGTTTATCTGCCACGTGCTAGCTGTGTGACCTTGAGCAAGCTCCCTCCACTTGCCCCCGTTGCCCATCTTCAAAACGCAGATAGTACCAGCCTCACAGGACTGTTTTGATGTTAAACTTGTAGAACCATGCCTGGCAGTAAGAGCTTGATATTAAAATACAACGCCCTGCTCCTTTCCCACACTCACTTATTTGCTCCTGGCTCACCTTTTCCCTGGCTGGAGGGCCACAGCAGTCTGCTTATGTCTTATCTTCAGTGAGGCCGGCCACCTTTGTCTTCATTAAGTGTGTAATGCAGTTCAGTTTTCCCCATCACTGGTCCCTTCCTCCTCTCCTGAGGCCTGTGACTTGCTTGTGCCCTGGGGCTGGCATTCGCTGCTTGTGGCTACAAGACAGAGCATCTCCTTTTGTGTCCTCAGGACAACATCTGACATGAGCCGAGTGTTCTGTTCACATTGTGGGAACAAGACCCTGAAAAAGGTGTCTGTGACCATCAGCGGTGACGGCACCCTGCATATGCACCTCTCCCGCAACCCCAAGGTGCTGAATCCACGAGGCCTCCGGGTGAGTGTGGCACATCTCCCGTTCCCCTGACATCACCAGAATTGAAGAGAGAGGACAAAATCAAACCTAGGCTAGCCATTTCTATAAGAATACAGGATTGAGAAAGCCTGCAACTGAGGTACCAAGACAGATGGGGGAGAGTGTAGACAAAGCCTCCTTGTGAGTTTCCTGAGGTGTCTGCAATCTAATGAGAAATGATCAGTAATTCCAGGCAGCAAATGCTAAGGGCTGCGTGGTGGGGGGATCGCCAGGGGCGAGATCACCAGCATCTGGTGGAGGTTAGATTTGCGCAGGAGAGTGAAGGATGGGCAGGTCCGTGAACCAGAGGGGAAGGTCTCGGCACAGAGGAGAAGCCTGGCTGGATACGCAGCAGCTGCAGATTTGTCCCAAGGAGCCGAGTGAGAGGACTGAGGGACAAATGAGCCTGAGAATGTAGCCAACCTGGCACTGACTTCTCCAAGTGGCAAATGTGCCGCTAATGCATGAGAAGAAATTCCTTTTTAACTTTCTATTTTAAAATAATTTTAGATTTATAGAAAAGTTGCAAAAATAGTACAAAGAATTCCCATTTATCCTTCACCTGGATTTCCCAGTGTTAATCTATTACCACACTTGCTTCATCATCATGTGTGTATGTGTATGTATAGTATTTTTCTTTTTTCTGAACACATTTTTTTTTCTGAACCATTTGAGAGTAAGTTGTACACATATGCCCTTTTCCCTAGAACAAGGACTTTCTCTTATGTAGCCACAGTATAATTATCAAAATCAAGAAATTAACATTGCAGGGCTGGCTGGTTAACTCAGTCAGGTATAGCATGGTGCTGATAACACCAAGGTCAAGGGTTCAGATCCCCATACCCTCCAGCTGCCAAAAAAAAAGATTAACATTGTTAACATTGCTGCAATACTACTGTCTATTCCGCAGACCCATATTTAAACTTTGCCAGTTCTGCACATTTCCCTTGTAGTGAAAGATTTTTTGGAGTCCACTTCTCAGTCTTCTTGTCTTTCATCACCTTGACGTTTTGAAGAGTACAAGCCAGTTTTTTTGTAGACTGTTCCTCAGCTTGTGTGTGTCCAGTTTTTCCTCATGATTAGGTTCAGACTGTGAATTTAGCAGGAACACCCCAGAAGTGACGTGTTGTATCTTCCTCAGTGCATTATATCAGAGGGTATGTGACAATTAGGTGTCTAGTTTCCTGGTGATAATAACTTTGATTACTTGGTTAAGGTAGTTTCTGCGAGATTTATCCACTATAAAGTCATTTGTAATTAATAATTGTAGAAAGATACTTTGGGACTGCATTACTCTGTTTTTTGTTTCTTGTAACAGAGTACCTGAAACTGGGTAGTTTAGAAAGAAAATGAAATTTATTTCTTACAGTTTTGGAGTCTGGGAATTTTGGGAGGTGCAGGAGGCACATATCATGAGGGCCTTCTTGGTGGGAACTCTGTACAGGGTCCTGTGGTGATGTAGCAATCACACGGGGAGCATGGCACTGTCTATTTTTGTGTGGTTTTTTGGTGGCTGGCCAGTAGGGGATCCGAACCCATGACCTTGGTGTTATAAGGCAGCTCAAGAACTCTTATTAACTTGCTCATTTGTTCTCTGTATAAAGCCACCAGTTCACACCCATGATAACCCGTTATTCCATGAATTGATTAATCCACTTAAGAGAGTATAGTCTTCACAAGCCAATCACCTCTTAAAGACCCTACCATTCAACACAGCCACATTGGGAATCAAACTCTGACCTGAGCTTGGGGGGACATTCAACCCATATCAGGGACTCTCTAAATATTCTCTTTCTCATTGAACTTTAACTCACTGGTTAAAGCTGACTGGGTCAGTTATTACAGTAATGGTCGCCAGTGGTGATTTTCTTATTTCCTCATTCCCTCTGTATTTATTACTTGGCATTCTACTGTAAAGAGGAACTTTCCTTTTATTCCCATTTATTTACATGAGTATGGTATCATGTGCTTTTATTTTAGTCTGTAGGCTGTGAACTGTTGTCATTATTTTGATGCTCAAATTGTTCCATGCTTGGCCAGTGGGAGCCCTTTTGAGCTGGCTCCTGTGTCCTTTTAACATGTCCCAATTATTTTTTGAACACTCTTACTTTCCAGCACAGGGAGATGTTCCCAGACTCTTGGGCCTTCCCTGCCCCTGCGCTAGAATCAGCCACTTCTCTCAGGAGCTCTGGTTCTTTTTTGTGGACACTGGTTTTTAGAAACAAAGATCTGGGCACTGGGTGTGGTCATAGTCCTGGGGTGTCCTTGCTCCTCTGCGCTCAATAAACATGGCACACGAGTATCTTGTATTCCTACATCTGTATTAAAAACCATGAGTTTATACTTTCAATTTCAACCCAACCCCACAGAGTGCATTCTAGCCCTCCCTCCTAGCAATTCATAACACCCTTAGTAACACTGTTTCCCATAATAGTTTACTTATCTGCTCAACCCTAGAGTATACGTTGTTTCAGAATTGCTAACCCATACTATGGCGGAAATGGTACTCGCTTACTGGAGTTCTGTGTCTGTGCAAATCTTTGGCTGAGGATATGTAGCCAAAGTACTGTCCAGTTTCTCATCTGTGAGTTGAGGTGAGAATCAAGTGGGGGGATGAGTGTCAGGTGCTTAGCACACACTAGGCCATCCATTACTGTCCCTTGTTGTCATTGGGATCTGCGAGGTCAGCTTTTCATTAACAGCACCGGGACATGTGTGACTGTTCTTCTAACAGCCTGGCCTCCTCTTTACAGTACTCACTTCCCACCCCCAAAGGGGGCAAATATGCCATCAACCCTCACCTGACCGAGGACCAGCGCTTCCCTCAGCTGAGACTCTCCCGAAAGGCCAGGCAGAAAACCAACGTGTTTGCCCCTGACTACATAGCCGGGATATCTCCCTTTGCAGAGAACGACATCTCCAGCAGGTCGGCCACCCTACAGGTCCGGGACAGTGCCCTGGGAGCTGGGAGGAGACGCTTGAATCCCAACGCTTCCAGGAAGAAGTTTGTGAAGAAAAGGTGAAGTGCAAGCTGCCGCAGGCAAACCAGCCGGCCTGCTGCTGCTCCTGTTGCTGCGGCTGCCGGGCTCTGCCTTGCCACTGTCCCAGCTGCTTGTCTCCAGAGCCGCCCGGATGGGAATAATAGCCCAGCTTCCCAGTGCTGCCTCGTGACTCACCGAGTGTTTGCTGGTGGAACTGGGCCATCCCTTGGCTTGTGAGCATCCAGAGCACTAGGACTCCTGCCATGTGCAGGGGAAGTTGATGAAAACAGAAAGAACAGTGCCCTGGAGCAAATGCCCAACCTCTGAAGAAGAGAATTTCCAAGTGATAATATTTTCCTAATGTGGTTGCAAGCTTCCGTGCATTTTTATTAAAGAGCCTCATTTTTGCTGCTTAGGTAATCTGAAGGCTAACACTTAAGCTGTATGTATGCCCAATATCAAGCATTTAGGTTTATCTTTTTTCCAGAGAATATAATAGGTATGTTACAATAAAACTAAGAACTACTATTTTCTTTTTATTTTTTTAACCTCTTTTGAAAAAAGTTCCAGTCAACTGTGGTTGGCATTTGGCCTCATTTGCTTTCTCTACACATGCACGCATGTACATGCACACACAGTATGCATCCTAGGAAAGGGGTGTTCTTTTACATAGCCACAGTTACAATGATCAAATTCAGGAAGTTTAACATTGATGCATTACTATTATCTAATATATAATAAGTACCGAAATCACTGCATGTCAATTTGTAGAGACCTTCCTTAATCTTTTTCAGCTGTCAAGACCTCCATTGTGAAAAGTTACCAACTCAAGCACTTAACCATACTATAGGCTCTGTGTCAAGTATTTAATCTACATTAGCCCGTTTAATCCATAGAACGTCACTATCACTGTGGTGTTGTTATCTCCAGCAGTCCTGGCTACCAGAAGTTGAATGACTTGCCCAAAGTCACATATCTTGTGAGTGGCCAAGCCAAGATTTCAACTTAGTCTTTTTGTGCTTTTAAGTAGCAAACGTACTAGCAGAGATTGTAGAAAGCAGGCTGAATGTTGTACCCTCCTCCTGCCCCTATCTTTGTGAAACTCATGTTCTTGAGTGTTAGCTGATAGGTTGACACCCACTGAGAGCCCAGGGAATTGGAGGAGAGGTGAGTAGTAGTCGCACCTGCCCTTTCCATTTCTCGTACTGTTGCATGGGACATACAGAAAGGTAGCAGGTGATGTAACAGACACCCAGCATTGTCAAGTCTTACCATCTTGCTTTGTTTGCTTCAAATTAATAAAACATTTCAGATACCAAGAATGTTTGGGTTGTGAAGAAAAATTGAACAACCCTTGCATTAAGGTAGGTGGAGAATGTGTGCTGTTGTAGATGATAAAGGTGGTGGCCACCGACCCCTACAGGTCGCTTTTGGAATTGCAGTGACCCCAACTACATAGGTTTTTCCCAAATGTTTCTCTGTATCCATTGGCATGATGGGAGGGAGGGATGGAAGTCCTATCAGGGCGACCCTTACTGACCCCAACAGCACAATTCTCTTCTACCTGATTTCTCTTGTGGCCAAAAGAATGACTACAAAGAAGGTGGCCAAGGGTAGGTAGGGCTTTTAGCGTAACTATACCCTTATTTACCCTTATCTCTCACATCGTCATTGACTACCTTTCCCTTTCTGTCTTGCTTCCCAATCTCACCCAGTTCCATTCCATTCATGAGGCCACAAAACTTTACTAAGTAAGACTGACCAGGGTTTTGCCAGTGATTCACATGTAATTAGAAAGTCACTGGCCAGCCGCCAAAAATAAAGTAGTCAACTGTTTGGTCTAAAAAAAAACTTATTAAATTGTCTCAAAATACTGAAAAGAAATTTTAATCTTCCTGTAATCTTGCTATCCTAAGAGAAAAACTACATCCCCCTGAAACCTGCACCCAGCCCAGCAATGACCAAGCCACCGCTAGAAGCCCCCCTAGTCCCCTCTATGGGAATGTGGGGGGTGCCACAGGCCTCAGACCCACCCCCACTCCTTCCTCATCACATTTCCTTCCCCTTTCCCCTCTCCCCCTCCCTCCCAGCTGCTCTGCAACAACATCACAGAATGTAAAGAAATAAAATTTTTTAAAAAAAACTCATTTTCCCTTCTGATCTTTTATCCAGGCACATAATTTTTTTCAGACATGTAATGATAGAGGCTGGCCAGTTACCTCAGTTGCTTAGATGGCAGTACTGATAACACAAAGTCCAGGGTTCAATCCCTGTACTGAATAGCTGCTGGAAAAAAATACAACAAGTAATGATAAACATCTCATTAAAAAGTTAAATACTTCTTTTCATTGGGAAAGTTCCAAATTTTGAAGCAAAATGTCAGCAGTCACCCACATCTCCACAAATTTCCATCCACTTCTAATCAAATTTGTTCCCTTTAAGCACAAGCAAGCACTTAAGGCAAATTTGTTATTTATTACTCTTGTGGTTTGTGTAATTATAGTCCAACCCTGTACTATTATTTTTCATTGTAGATGTCCAGGACTTAAGCCAAAAGAAGAGATGGTACAGTGAGGGGAAAAGACAGGCTTGGAGCCCAAGCCTGAGTTCAGGCTCTCATACCCTTGTAACCCCAGGGAGAATGCCTTAGTTTCTCTAAAGCTCATTTTTTTCTCCTCTGTGCAAAAGGAATCTTACACCTATTTCACAGTATTGCCGTGATAAGTAGATAAAATCTTTTTAGGAAGGCACTGGGCTATGATATACTGCAGAAATGTTAATGTGCAGATACTGCATAAGTGTTCATTTCTCCTTACAGGATTAGTATAACACTGTTCCTAATGTAAAATACATTCCAAACTTTCAGTATGTGTTGCTTGCTTGTTTGATGATTAGTTATGAGTATGTATGGACAGGGCCTTCTGCCTCTTAGCAGAGAATACCTTTTCCACTTTCTGATCCTCATAGTGTCTGGTTAGTACTTTAAAAGATAAGTCAGGTATTTCGCTCTACTGCTTAAAACACTCCAGAGGCTTCCCTTTTCATTCAGAATAAGAACCAAACTCTACTGTGGTCAAGGCCCTACATCAGGAGCTGGTAAACTTTTTCTATAAAGGGCCAGATAGTAAATATTTTTGACTTTCCAGACCATATTGTCTGTCACAACTACCAAATTCTACTGTTGTAGCACAATGGCAACCCCAGGTAGTACATAAACGAAAGGTCCATGGTCGTGACACAGCTATTACGTGTTCCAATAAAACTTTATAAAAACAGGCAGTGGGCTGGATTTGGCACATGGGCTACAGTTTGCTAATTCCTGCATTATATGGTCCGGCACCTCTCCTCCCACCCAGTCTCCAAACTTCTCCTCCCTTCCCCCCCCACCTTCTTTCAATCATTTGACATATTATTTGTTGCCTAATCCAGTTATTATGGCTACATAAATATTACCCCAAAACTTAGTGTATTTGTTATGCATACAGATTCTGAGGTTGGGGCATAGTTGGGACAGCTTGTCTGTACTCCATGTTTGGGGCCTCAGCTGGAAGATTTGAAGTCTAGGGGGTTGGATTCATCTGAACACTCATTCACTCAATGTCTGGTGGTTGGAAGATGGCTGTAAACTGAGACCTATGCTGGGTTTTCAGCTATGATACCTACAAGTGGCCTCTTCCTGTAGCTTGGGCTTCCTCACAGTATGGTGGTAGGGTTCTAAGGGCAAGCATCCTGAGAGAGAGCCAACCAGAATCCTATCTTTTTTTTTTTTTTTTTTTTTTTTAAAAAAAAAAAAAAAGAAAAAAGATAGGATTCTGGTTGGCTCTCTCTCAGGAGGCTTGCCCTTAAAACCCCCCCCCCAAATTTGGGGGGGGGGTTTTAAGGGCAAGCCCCCTGAGAGGGGGCCACCCAAAACCCTTTTTTTTTTTTTTTAAAAAAAAAAAAAAAGAAAAAAGATAGGATTCTGGTTGGCTCTCTCTCAGGAGGCTTGCCCTTAAAACCCCCCCCCCAAATTTGGGGGGGGGGTTTTAAGGGCAAGCCCCCTGAGAGGGGGCCACCCAAAACCCTTTTTTTTTTTTTTTAAAAAAAAAAAAAAAGAAAAAAGATAGGATTCTGGTTGGCTCTCTCTCAGGAGGCTTGCCCTTAAAACCCCCCCCCCAAATTTGGGGGGGGGGTTTTAAGGGCAAGCCCCCTGAGAGGGGGCCACCCAAAACCCTTTTTTTTTTTTTTTATAAAGATGACCGGTAAGAGGATCTCAACCCTTAGCTTGATGTTGTCAGCACCGTGCTCAGCCAGTGAGCTAACCAGCCATCCCTATATGGGATCCAAACCCATGGCCTTGGTGTTATCAGCACCACACTCTCCTGAGTGAGCCATGGGCCAGCCCCATATCCTATCATTTTCTACCACCTAGACTTGGAAGTCACACAGCATTACTTCTGCTGCATTCTGTGGGCTGAGGTATTAAATCCTGCCCATGTTAAAGGGAAAAAGAATTCAACTCCATATTTTGATGGGAGAAGCGTCAAGCTCTTGGAAAAGCAGATGTGATTGAAAATATGGCTGTGGCAATTTTGGGGAAAGATAATCTGCTACATGGTCTGTCCATCTGCCACTACTAAAATGTCAGCTCCTTGAGGACATGGGCTTGATTTTGTTCCCCGCTCTATCCTTACTATGTAGATAGTGCCTGGAACGTGGTACATGCTCAGTCAATATTTGTTGTTGTATATGTTTTTCATTTAACTTTTTTAAAGGTAATATACATAACTCTGCCAGCTGCATCAAAGTGTTTTGACTAGCTGGCCACAAAGCACAATTTTCTACCAACTGATTTAAGAACTCCATTTTCAGTTACTACAGACAGTGCCAGAATACTAGTTTGGTTATGGAGAAATCTCAGAGTTGTGTTTAAACTTACAATAGATTTCCTAAGTTATACAGTTCCATTCCTGGTCAAGATGGAGTAAAAGGGTTCAAGCTGGTTCAAATTTACTCTCCTATCTGAAACAATATACAAGCCAGATAAAATATATGAAACAACGGTTTTCAGCCCTTAGAGGTCAGGCAGTGTGGTACGGTAATCCCTGAGAAAGAGGGAAATAAATGAGGTCAGCACTACAGTTGCAGTAGTGGGCTATCTAGAGAGAAATTCCAGAAGGAAGAGGTGGAGCTTAGAAGTCTTGAATAAAAGAAACAGAGCTGGGAATCCAGGCAGGCCACAATGGGTAGACTTTGCAGGGCAGCATCTTGGAGAGGAGAGAGCATCGCACAGAGAGAGGGCGCTCCATAGACCTGCAGAGTCTTCAGCTAAGTACCGATCAGCACTGGGAGAAGCTTCCCAAGACTGGGGAAAGAAATACCCCCCAAAAGCAGAGGAAATCACCCTCCAGGCTCACACAAAGCCAGGAACAGTTCGTGTTCCCACTAACCAGAGTGGAAAATGTCATAATTCGTGGGCATCCAGTAGAGCATTCAGGAGTGGGAAACTATTATCTCTAGACCAAAGGCTGCTCGGGTCCTGCCAAACAAAGCAAGCCTCAAAAGGATTCTGCTCAGTTCAATGGCCAGAATGAGTCCTGCGGCCCCACCTAACCACACAGGGCTAAGAAATGGAATCCCAATGTCTACAAGGCCAGGTGCTCAAAACACTTGGTGAACAGCATTAGTGACAACGACAGTTGTGAAGATGCATATCTGTGGCTTCGAAATGAACTCATGAGCAGGAACATTTTTGTGATAAAGGGAGTTGTAAGTGCATGCACAGCAAATTGTTAATCCAAGCTTTTCAGTCAGCAAGACAAGTTTTAACAGGTTAGGAACTTCCAGATGGTTATTTCATTGCACCTGTTGATAGTTTCTACTGTGCAGAAGGGAGGGTAATTGCCTCTTAGTGCCCTGATATCTGGAACACTGAGCTGCAGGGCTAATATGCATTTTTTAGGGATGAGCAAAGCAAACATGGTTCTTATCTAACACTGGAAAGAAAAAGAGTCTCCAAAGAAAAGACCACCGGAGAACCTCATCAAGAAGACGTGAAGAACAAAGTGTACCCCAGGAACACAGGAAATCTCTGGAGTGTACCTCAGGAACACTTGATTATGGTGACCATAGCTGGGTGATGGTCACACAAGAGACCAACAATCCAAACACATTCACTTACATCTACTGCTCCATGCAACACATCATTTCTTTTCCTTGCAAAGAAGCAAAGTTCATACTGGAATGGTGTAAATACTGCTAAAAAGTGAGCTAAAGGGAGCTTTGTTTATACATACGCCCAAACTGAGCTTGCCTTAACACCAAAGTACACAGGCAAATTCAAGTACTCTGACCTATGCATAACACACATATGAGAGCAAAGTTTTAAAAGGTAAATTTTGTAAATCATCTACACAAGAATGACTGCACATAAATAAATGGTTTGTTTTATATTTCATAGCCATATCTGAAAATAAGACTAACCTTTAAACTCAAAAATGCAAAAATCTAGCACCCAATTATTTTAATTAAATGTGACAGATGATGGATATTATTTGGCTGAAACTAAATCTTTGATTTGGGATTTGATGGAGTTTGGATGTGTTGTCCCCTCCAAAACTCATGTGGAAATTTGATCCCCAATATGGCAGTGTTGGAAACTGATTGAGTCATGGGGCGGATCCCTCATGAATGGATTAATGCTCTCCCTGGGGGAGGGGCGAGTAATGAGTGAGTTCTCGCTCTATTAGTTCCTGCGAGAGCTTATTGTTTATAGGACCCTGGCACCTCTTGCTTCCACTCTCTTGCTTCCTCTCGCCATGTGATCTGCTTGTACCCACCAGCTGCCTGCCGCTTTCCGCCATGAGTAGAAGCAGCCTGAGGCCTGTGCCAGATGCAGCTGTGCCAGAATCGTAAGCCAAATAAACCTCTTTCCTTTATAAACTACCCAGTCTCAGGTATTTCTGTTATAGCAACACAAAACAGACTAAAACAATAGTCAAGAAGCAGGAAATGCCTTTCCCTAACTTTTCTGTTAGTCTGCTCTTGTAAATAACAAGTGAGTTCCCCATCCCTGAAAGTGTTTCCACAAAAGCTGAAGAGCTCCTTATGGGTACGAAGAGGACCAAGCTTTGAAAACAGGGTCCTGTCTATACTTTAAATTCCGTGATATGGTGCCAACACTCGATTTACTACATAGGATAAAATCTCTTCACAACAAATGAATGTTATTTCAAGAGGATATTTCAGTTTAACCCCAGTGTTCTAAGCCCAGTAGACGATGACCTAATACAGATGACAAAATTCCAGCAGTACACATACCTGAACACAGGAAATCCAACATAAGGGCATGTTACTGTAGATTAGATGCCCCCCAGACTCACTGAGGCTTAATCCCCACTGTAACTGTTGAGGGTGGGAAATCCTATCATGGTAGTTGAAAGCTGGGGCCTCAAAGAGGCGATTAGATTGTAGAACCATGCTGGAGTGAATGGATTAATAATGGTGGTCAGGGCATGGTTCTGAGAGCTGTAAAAGAAAAGCACACGAGTTTTTCTCTCTCTGCTCTGCCATTTTCTGCCCTGTGAGACCCCCTTGGTCACAGTTGCCACCCCAAGGCCTTCACCAAATGTGTTCCCTGGTTTTTGGACTTCCCAGCCTCTGCAACTGTAAGCAATACATTTAGTTTTCTTGCAAAGTACCCAGTTCCTAGTATTTTGTTGTAAGCAACAGAAACGGACTAATACACATGTGTTCTATGCAATAGCAATGGTGGTGGTGAGACAGGAGGACAGGGAGAGCGTTTACACTAGAAGAATCTTTTCTCCCCTACTACCAAGGACCTGTTCCCTCCAGGGATACCTGGCTGGTATCCACAGGAACCACTGAGAACAACAGATACCCAAGTCCCCAGACAGGCCCAAGAATGGTTCTGAGCTAATGTACAAAGTCCATCATCCGCAGAACAGAGAAAAGCAAGGGGGCTTTGGGGACTTCTCCTTGTTTGAAAAAGCAGCCACACACGTGGACACCAGGCATTAGAAGAGACTCATGAAGCTGTTTGTGTTCTCTCATCATGAGGAGGATGGGGAACTCACAAGGACTCTCCTGCCCCTGCTTTATATTTCTAGGTAATGAAGACAATCAACAAAGCTTCCCACAGCTCCATGGTCCTGGCCTGCTCCCTGGGAACACAGGAGAGGCCTTGAAGACACTGTTTTGAGTCAATACATAACACCTGGTACATACATCCTCCTGGGACAGAGGCCTGCTTCAGAAAAGACCCTAGGAATTGTACAATCTTGTACTGACAGCAAATTAAAGCTAGAAGGAACCTTGAAGACAGTGTAGCCCAAACCTACATTTCCAGACATGAGGCAACCAGTGCTCAAGGAGATGACCATTAACAGCTGACCCGGACCTAGACTCAAGAATTCTGACTCTACTAATAGCAAGTAGCAGTTGGGAGCTGACTGTGGAGCCCAGTGGCCTGGGTTCAAATTCTGGACTACACCGCTGACTAGCTGTACAACAATGGGCAAGTCATAGAACCACTTGGTACCTCAGTTACCTTACCTGTAAAATAGGTGTTTTATTCCCTACCTCACATCATACACAAAAATTACCTCAAAGTGGATCATAGACCTAAATATGAGATAAAACTAAAGAACTCTTAAAAGAAAACAAACATATAAATTTTCATAACCTTGTATTAGTCAATGATTTCTTAGATATGACACCAAAAGCACAAATGATAAAAGAGAAGGTTGATAAGTTAGAACACTGGGACTAAAAAGATTTCAGGTGCTTACACAGAGAACGAGCAGGTCACATCCAAATATTCAGAAAGCAGATAGATTCTCCACAACAGCCCTTAAAACTGGAGAACATAGATTCAATGCCTTGAAAATTCTAAAGGACAATTTTCAACCTAAAATTAATACATAGCCAAACAGTCAGATATGCAATGTATCAGAAAACTTACTTTCCATTTATCCTTTATTAGGAAACCTCTGAAGAATGTAATCCAGAAAAAAAAAAAAAGAAGTAAACTTGTAACATTTGGCTACCTTATTTGGGCAGCACAGACATAGAAAGTTCTACAGGACCATGCTGCCTAGACCTTTTTGTTTTTTTAATTAATTAATTTTTTCAGCAGCTGGTTGGTCTGGGGATCTGAACCCTTGACTTTGGCATTACAAGGCTGTGGTCTAACCAACTGAGCTAACCATCCAGCCATAGACCTTCTTAAAATGTCCTTTTGAATACTGTTTTAAAGTTGACTTCATACCACTTTAAAAATGGTCCAGCTGAAATTCCCTGCCCCCTAAGAAGCTGTCATTGACCATTCTCTTCCTCTTCACTGAACTTCTACACCCTTTAGAGCATGGCTTTAATTCTTAAATACATGTCATCTCTTAAAAATAGTCATCTCTCCTCATTTTCCACTCCTAGAAGAAATACTTGAAAATATTGTGTTTAATGGTTCTGGTGGTTATTACATTCTAATAATGTGCTTTTGTCTCTATTTCTAGACAGTATCCATTTACTTTGTATTACAAAGAAATAGAAAATTTAATTTACAGTCAAGGTTTGGACTAGGGTGAGATGATGTGAGGCACTTGCCCAGGGAAAAAAAATTTAAGGAGATAATAAAAAATGCAGTAATCAAAATAATTTGAATGCAGTATTTTTTAAAATAAAATTAATGAAAAAAAAAAGCCTAGGGTGAACAAAATATCAACACGTTAAATAAAGACAGGATCAGTATTACCGATTCCTCCTTTTGCCTTAGGCTCATTATGGTTTGGCACAATTAGGGACCTTATCTTTAACATTTTTATATTTTGTCCATCATTACTTTTTCTTCACATTAATTTTAAATTTTATAAGATGACCAGTAAGGGGATCTTAACCCTTGACTTGGTGTTGTCAGCACCACGCTCTCCCAAGTGAGCTAACCGGCCATCCCTATATAGGGATCCGAACCCGGGGCCTTGTTATCAGTATCACACTCTCCCAAGTGAGCCACAGGCCGGCCCTTAATTTTAGTTTTTATAAATATTGCATTAAAGTATCGTTTATCTTGATATCTCGATTACTGAGTTTTCTGGCCCCTCAAATTTTGCACCCAAGACAAAATTTAAAGGCCCTGGGTGCTTTCTACCACCCTTCCGTCATTTGTAATTCTTCTGATGGTAACTTATCACTTTAAAGTTCTATTTCTTTTTCTTTCACCTTTTGACAGTGTGTCTCCCCTCTGTTCTGTAGGATGACTTGACTATAACTTTTATTTTATGGAGATTTAAAACGTTAAGCTTTGTTCTATTCCGTACCTCTAAGTAAGACTGTAAAATCACTGAACTTTAATTTGTCTTAGCTGTTCTTTAAGTGCTTTTCCAACACTGCTCTCTCCGGACCAGCTTTGCCTTTTTAGCTCGTGAGAGGTAAAACCAGTCAGTTCCCTGATTACCTAGCCATGAGGAGCAGGGGTGATCCAGGGGTATGCACCTAGGGAATTGCGTTCCATGGGCCCCCCAAGTGCAGAATCTGAACTTGTAAAGGAAAAACCAAATTCATTTCCACGAGGGCAAATCTCCCCGATGCTCTCAGCCCTAAGTCCAGAGTCACTGTGACTCAGCAGAATTCGATCCTAAAGGCTCGGCCGCACCCCGTTCTTCGCCTGCTCTATTCGGTAGGGAGGCGATTCCCTCCGGCTCGGAGAGGCCAGGAGGGAGTGCCCAACAGCCTCGGACTCCACTGGAAACGCCCTCCTCGTATCCCCAGATACACCCACCCAGACCCAGGACGCTCCTCTCACGCACACTTCCCTCCCCCGCTCCATCCCCCAGACTCCCCTTCCTTCCTGTAACTGCCGCCTTGGTGACCTCTGCCCAGCGCCCCACGGGCCGCGACCGGCCCCGCCCTTGCTGGCCGCCTAGCCCTGGTGGGCCGGGCCGGGCTGGGTATAAAGGAGCCGGCGCAGCGAGTCGCACGGGAGACACCTGCGGGTTGCAAGCCGCGCTTCCCGGACAGTACCTTATCCCGGCCAGGGTCGCCGCCGCAACCAGCAGCGCAGAGTCAGCGCCCGGGACCGCTCCTCGGCCGCACGCGTCGCAGCCATGGTCGGTGAGTGCAGGACGCGGGGACACGTGCGCTCGTGCGGATGGCACTCGGGCCCTCGTGGGTTCCTCCGGAGAAGGCTGTAAGGACCTGGTCTTGAGTTTTGTTCCTTGACTCAAACCCGAAAAAATGAAGAAATTAGGGTACGGTTTGAGCCCTGACAAGACTCCAAGGAGAGGGGTCGTCCCTCACCCCTTCCTCACAAACTCGGGGGGCGTTTAGGAGAGACTTCACCTGGGAAGCAAAGTTCTCTCCCAAACAGGTCCGTTCCCTTCCTTCCTCTCTTTCTATTCTTTCTTTTAAATAAAAGTGAATTCACACTCACTTGCTTTTTATCAGTTACCAATAGACCATAGGTATCTTTCTGGGTCACTATACATCGTTAACTCATTTTTTTTTTTTTTTTTTTTAAGATGACCGTGAAGGGGATCTGAACCCTTGACTTGGTGCTGTCAGCACCACGCTCTCCCGAGTGAGCCCCGGCCGGCCCTCGTTAACTCATTCTTATTAGCATAATATCTTGTAGAGTGGATGTAGCCATAATTTATTTAAATATTCCCCGTACATAGACAATTGGGTTATTTCTAATTCTTGCCAAGGAAAACAATGCTGCAGGACGCCTCGTTGCCCCTATGTCCTGATGCTTTTAGTCTGTAGAACAGATCCCCCCGACCCCCGCTTCCCAAATTAGAGAGCTGGATCAAAGATTTGTCTTTAGAATTTTAAGAGTTTCCACCTGATTACTTTCCCCAAGGGTTGAGGCAATTCATATTCCCGCCAGTAATGTGCCAGTTTCCTACAATCTTAATAGCCCTCAGTGTTATTTGTCTTAAATGTTTTGCCAATCTCAGGGGTAAATAATACCTCATTTTAGTTTGCTTGTCCTGACAGGCCAGGCAGAACACCTTTTCATTTGTTTATTTTCATTTGCTTATCGTCCTCTGTGTTTAGGGCTTTTCTATCTTTTCTATTGAGGTGTCTGTTTCTTTCTAGTTATCTGTAGGCATTCTTTGGGATTTTAACTCTTTGCCATAAGAGTTGCAGATTTCTTCTCCCAGGTGATTGATTGTCTTGTCTTTTAACCCCGTTTATGTTGTCTTTTGCTAAACAGACATTTTTCATTCTCATGTGGCTTTCTTTGTCAGGCTTTTCCTTCACGGTTTCTGAATCTCAAGTCTTCTTTAAAAAGTATTCTCTACCCCCACGTTTACACAAATTCTCCCTTTCTTCTACTAGTTTAGCAGTTTCATTTAAACATTTTGATTTTTAACCTACCTGGAAATAATTGCTGTATGTGGTGTGTTACTGGGGTGATTCAAAACAAACTTTTTTATAGAATACAAGAGACACACTGAAAAGTGCACAAGTTCTAAATGGCTTTTCACAAACTGAAAATTTATGTATTCAGCACCCAGATCAAGAAAGAAAATGTTACCAGCACCACAAAAGTCCTTTTTGTACCCTTTCGGTCACTGCCCGCTGACAAGGATTACCACTGTACTGACTTCTAACACCTATGCTAGTTTTGGGGGGTATGATTTTATTTTCATGCATACGGCTAATTGAGTATGCCAACACCATTTACTAAATCAGCCGCCGTTTTTTCTCACTGAGTCAGAATGCCTCCTTTAGTCATTGGTACCTTTAAGGAGAAAGTATATTTCTGGCTGCAGGGGATGGATTGCAATAACCTAATGTCTAACAAAGTCGCATCTTCTTTTACGAACACTGGCTCCCCTGTAGCTGATGCTTGGTTGGTTGGGAATGGATTTTCTCCATATGCCTTGTGTGTGTCTAAATAGGAAAAAAAGCACTGATTGTACTGGCTCACTCAGAGAAGACATCCTTCAACTATGCCATGAAGGAGGCTGCTGAAGAAACTTTGAAGAAGGAAGGATGGGAGGTGATTGAGTCAGACCTGTATGCCATGAACTTCAATCCTGTCATTTCCAAAAAGGACATCACAGGTAGGAGTCCCCTCTCCTCCCTTTAATTAGTTCTTTGTGGATCTCCTTGCCTGTGGGTTCTCTGGTCCAGCCTTGGCCCCTCTGGCTCAGCCTCTCTTTTTCCTCTCTGCAGGTAAACTGAACAACCCTGGGAACTTTCAGTATGCTGCTGAGTCTGTTCAGGCTTATAAAGAAGGCCGCCTAAGCCCAGACATTGTGGCTGAACAAAAGAAGCTGATGGCTGCAGACCTTGTGATATTTCAGGTATGGTAGGACAGGACATCAGAAGGGGTGCCGGGGACACTTGAGTTCTTATTATCATAGACCTTACTCAGTTATCTATGGCATCTTAGAAAAGTCACTTGCACACTTTATTGCATCTTGTACGTAAGCATGATTACTTCAAAGGTACAAAAGATGCAGAATTACACAGATTTATAGATATTGCGAATCCAGCTGTATTGCTCTTTGCATATATGAATGTGATTGCTAAGATGACATCTAAACCTTGAGCTTTTTTTCCCCATTGTGCCTAATCTTCCCTTCAATTAGTGATTCCTGGTGGACTCTCTCAAAGTTTGCAGTTCTCCCCTCTCTCCATAGAATGCTAAATAGTTTGTGGAGTGATGTCATGAGAGGTTGACTTCTCTGCTGTTGTAGCTTCCCAGCTGAAGGGGCTTTGCCCTGCTGAATGTGTTGCAGCAGCAAACCATGGCCTTGCCTCTCCCAGAAATTGCTTACCATTCAGCAGACAGTACTGGAACCGTGTGTGTATCTTGTCAGTCCTCTTGCTTGTAAATGCCAGACTATACTCAATGACTCTGCTTTAATCAGCCAGCCTTTTGATACTGAACAAGACACTGGAAACTTCACAAGGAGGGTGGTACAGGCTGGGGTTTTTGCAATTATTCAGTCAGCTCCAAAGCATCCAATCTTTAAAGTCTTTTATTCTATCCTCAGGCCTGTTGCCATGAATTGAAGCCACATGCCATTAGTTAGTGCCCCAAAGGATGCCTTCTTGATCCAAGTTTTCTACTGCATCTTACCTTAGTGCAGCCAAGGCAGCAGCACTAGCAGCTTTCAGTTCTCATCTCAGAGTCACCGTATTTTGGAATCGGAAAGGACCTTGGTGGTCTTTACATTTAACTTCTATCTGATGCATAAGTTTTCTTCACTGTCATTACAACTGTGCAGGTTGTGCCCTGTAAAGTAGCACCACATCTAAGGGCAATGTAAACACTGCACGTTTGTATATTTATTATAACAGTTTTCTCACAGGTGACAGGAAAAGTCTCATTCTCACAAAATAAATGTACTATGATAGTCTTTCAACATGGAAAGAGTGTCTTGAGGAAGGAGTGCCTTAATTCATAGCAAGGGGCATATGGGCTAATCCCCTGATCACTTTTCTCACTTCTCCAAGAACAACTTGAGGCAGAGTAAACTTTTTTTTTTGGCGGCTGGCCTGTGCAGGGATCCGAACCCTTGGCCTTGGCATTGTAACACTGTGCTCTAACCAACTGAGCTAACCAGCCATCCTGAGAGTAAACATTTAATACACCCCAAGCCAACCAATTCTGTTTTCAGCTCTGACTGAACATTCAGAGGGGACCAAATCTACTTGCTAAACAGCCTATACATTTATACTAAAAGCTGCTGGTCTGGCCCCTCACAATTGGAGGGTCATAGATGTGAGAATGTAAGAAACTGCTAGAGATTACCCAAGCCCCTCTTTTTACAAATGGGGCAAATGAAACTTAGAGAAGCTATGAGGCTTGTGTGGCAAAGGTCAGGCACAAAATCAATGGCAGATTGAGCATAAGAACACGAATCTTGCTCTCAATCCTGTGTTCTATTATAGAACCCTACCTCCTTACCCCCTTTTCTGTACAACAGCAATCCTTCAAGTATTGAAGAAAGCTGTCAAGTTCTGCACATTCCTTCTTGGCTCTAGTTTTCTTCCTCTGGGCTTATTCCAATTGTCATATCTTTGAATCATGAATCAAGGATAAGAAGAAATACTGAGATAGCCCTTACTGTGCTTTGATTAGGACATCTCAGACAAGACTTTTTCTTGGGAATTCTGTGGTAAACCTTAGTCACACTGACCATTTGTTTGCATTTTTGAATGGTTTTGTTTATTCTAAATGAAAGGATTTTATATCCCTTAGCATAAGGGACAGTCATAGTTTTGATACCACACCTACTTAAGCAAGCTCTTGGGAAACTATTGATTTAGGCATCATACATTGAAGCAAATGAACCTTGTCTGCAGTCCTTGGCATTTAGATTTTGCTGCCAAATGTGATTTCATAGAAACAAATCTTATTTGCATGTGGCCTTATTCAAACTCACCCCATATTTGTATTTTTTAGGCAGAAACAGGAGTATCAAGTTAGCTGTCCAAGGACAATAATTTTTCCTTTCTTAAACGTGCTTAACTCCTCCAGAAGGAATGACAAAGGCCCGAAGAAAGGTTCCCATAACAGTGACATCATGGGCAGCAGCAGTATACCCTGAGCCGCCTTCCGTGCTGGGGATGTCCCTGATCTAACCACTTGGATGTCTTCTGTCCCACAGTTCCCATTGCAGTGGTTTGGAGTCCCCGCCATTCTGAAAGGCTGGTTTGAGCGAGTGTTCATAGGAGAGTTTGCCTACACTTATGCTGCCATGTATGACAAGGGACCTTTCCGGGTAGGTGAATGGTTCTCAGTTTTCTAACAGCTGGATTCTGGGTAAATTCTCTTCTAAGGCAGAGTTTTGAGCAGAGGTACTAAGATACTAACATCAGGCTCCAGGTCCTTTGGGAGAAATGCATGATAAAGTTTTTATAAATTAAATGACATGCTGTTTGGGATTTATTTTAAAATACTCCAGGGGAAAAAAAAAGGATGAGGGGATTAGATAAAACTAGAATGGCAAAATATTGAGAATTGAAGTTGGGTGATAGATGCATCATTAGTACTATTTTCTCTTATTTATGTAGGTTGAAATTTTCCATAATAAAAATAAGGAAAGTCTGTCTTTGTTTTTTGGAGACCCAAATACTGCACAAGAAACACTTTGAGACATTCTGGATTAAAGGTCTTATCCTACTCAATGCCTAGCACCGTGGGGAGACATAAAAACAACAAATAATTCCACCTAGGCAGCCAGCAGCCAATGCTGATTTTGTTACCATGACAGCCTTGTCCTGATTGGCCACACGCAGGAGTGTGGAATCCTTGGCTGGCCCCTGGCTACCTGTCTGTGAACCAGCTAAGCTGGTACTTCTGTAGAGTCACACTGTATAGCTCAGAGGAGCTAAAGTATGAGGTAATATAAACAGCAAATAGGGTAGACTTGTGTGTTTCTTTTCCCTGGGGCTGTTCGATTAACTTCTTGTCACCAAGGAGATGTGGAGGGTAATGAAGTTGTTTTTTTTTTCTTTTACAGAATAAGAAGGCAGTGCTTTCCATCACCACAGGCGGCACCGGCTCCATGTACTCTCTGCAAGGTGTCCACGGGGACATAAATATCATTCTCTGGCCAATTCAGGTACTTCATTTTCAATGAACCTTCAGGGGAATTCATTAATTGAGCTTTGACTGGGGTCCTCAAGATAGCAGCTGAAAACAGATCTGAGATGTGAATTCGAAAGCATAGTAATGGTTGAGAACGTGCCCATCTTGCCAGGCCTCTGCTTATCAAATACACCCATGTGTGCACATGTTCAAACACTGTTCTCTCCTAACCAAGGACTAGTGCAGATGACCCTTGATTGGTACAGCCACAGGCCATGGCTCTCTCCAGATGACTGACATCTCTCCAATCTTCCTGTCCTCCAAGTTGCTGCTATAGTCTCACAGACTATTAGAGCCCAAGACAAATTAAGAAATGATGTAGTCCAGCCAGTTTTAGGGATGAATAAACTGAAGTCTGAGGTGGGTTTTTCAGTGGTCACTGGACTCTCAAGACTAATCTGTTTTAAGGAAGGAGATTGGAGAGAAGAGCAAATGAGGTGGCCACCTATAAGAATCATTCCTTAAGACTGGAGAGTCAGAGAAATGCACACCTGCATGCCTTGACAAGAGTCAGCTGCTGACAAGCTGAAACTCTTCCCTGATGTGATAGAATTTCCAGGACTTCTGGCAGAAGATCCAGGTTGGCACAGTTTCAGGGTATTAGTCACTTAAAGAACACAGCCTAATAGGCTAAAATAGGTAACACTTAGGTAGAGAGGGCAGAAGGTGAGAGACTATATAGCTATGAACTGATTCTCCAGAGTACTTAGGTCTCCTTACTGGAGTGTCTTAATGGGAAGTCCAGACCAACTTTTGTTGTTCGTTTACAGTACAAACTGCATAGGATTCGTTCTGTGACTTACCTCTGTGCTTTATGTATCCCCAGAGTGGCATTCTGCATTTCTGTGGCTTCCAAGTATTAGAACCTGAACTGGCATATAGCATTGGTCACACTCCAGCAGATGCACGAATTCAGATCCTGGAAGGATGGAAGAAACGCCTGCAGAATATTTGGAATGAGACACCACTGTATTTTGCCCCAAGCAGCCTTTTTGACCTTAACTTCCAGGCAGGATTTTTACTGAAAAAAGAGGTACAGGATGAACAGAAAAACAAGAAAGTTGGCCTTTCTGTGGGCCATCACTTGGGCAAGTGCATCCCAACTGACAACCAGATCAAAGCCAGAAAATAAGATTCATAAGACTGGATTTCTCTCTAACATGTAGTCAAGTCTGTGTATCTTTTTTTCAAGTTTCACCAACTTACTTTAGTTTTTAAGATCTGGGTGTTTCTTTTTCCACAAGGAATGAATAGGAGAGGAACTAGACTGTTTTGTGTAGACATTTTTGAGTGATTTTATAATTAAATCCAACTGATTCTTACAATTACTATCATGGAATAGAGCAAAAATCTGATTAGGCTCAAGAGGCTACTTAGGGGAAGGTATAGAAAGATGCTAGAAAAATATTCTTTAAGATCATCTACACAATTCTTTTTAGGACTAAATTTTTAGGGCAAAATTTAGCTAGAGAGCATTCAACTCACCAGTGCTCTATTTCTTTTAATTACCTCTCTGTAGTTTATGGCAGGAGGGAATTGCTCAGAGAAAGAAATGGCTGTATTTATCTGACCTAACTTGTTTTTTTTTTTTTTGTCTTTTTCCGTGTCCGGCAACGGATCGCAACCGGGATCCGAACCCTCGGACGGGAGCGCCGCCGCGCTTCCCAAGCGGCGCACTATCCAGTGCGCCACCGGGCCGGCCCTGACCTAACTTGTTTTGTAGTTAGTAATCTAATGCTTGTTTACTATGCAGTGAATATGTAATATACCTATCATGAGTATTACTCTTCCTTCAACTTTTGTTGTTTGTATACAGAGCAGAGATACCTTTTGTTACCTATTCAGCTAACAAAACTCTCTTCTTTACCTCAGTTTTCTTTTTTTTTTTTTTTTTCCTTTTTGTCTTTTTTCGTGACCGGTAACGGGATCGCAACCCTCAGTGTCGCGCCCGCACTGCACTCAACCAGTGAGCGGACCGGTCTCTGTATGGGATCCGAACCCTCGGCGGGAGCGCCACCAGCACTCCCAAGTGCCGCACTCTACCGAGTGCACCACCGGGCCGGCCCTTTACCTCAGTTTTCTAATTTAATGTTTGCAGAAGTAAATTAACACATCCACACTGTACATTTGCCACGTTGAGTGAATTCAAGAAAGGAAATAGTATCTTCAGTACTTAAGAACAGCCTTCCACAAAAATACTTTATTTCTTTTTTTTTTTTTTTTCCTTTTTGTCTTTTTTCGTGACCGGCAACGGATCGCAACCCTCAGTGTCGCTCCCATACCGGACCGGGACCGGCCACGGGATCGCAACCCTCGGTGCTGCTCCCGCACCTCACTCAGCCAGTGAGCGGCCGGTCTGTATGTGGGATCCGAACCCTCGGCGGGAGCGCCGCTGCACTTCCCAAGCGGCGCACTGCTACAGTGTGCCACCGGGGGTCTATACAAACTTCCAGAAGGTTATTTGCTGTATCATTGCTAAACTGACAACTTTCCTTTTAAGAATGTGTTTTGGTCTCATAACTTTTGGGATAAAATGGTAAGCTTGGAGTTTTATTAACTTAGGTGAACAATTTTGGCATAATATTCTAATTTCCCTTTAAATTCTTGAAGTGCATCTCTTCCCACTGTTGGTATAATTCAGGTAGAATATGATAAAAGACTGCCCTCTTGTGGTGCATTTGAAAGAAAATAAGAGAAATGATGCAAAATGAGTTTACCTGAAAAATGGGAAACAGCCTCTTAACTGCCAAGGAAATGATGGCATTGGGCCAGGATGGAGAACTTCATTTACCAGATGCTGACTAGCACTAGCTATTTTTTGCTGTGACAATATCCATGATAGCAGACCGCTGGGTTTTTCACGTTGAAAATATTTTCTGTTGCCTTCATCTTCACTGCAATTTTGTATAAATTTCTAAACCAAATTAAATAAAATTCATTTCTACAAAACAGACCCACATTCATTGGTATCAGTGAAGCTAATGATAGAGGCATTCAGGCAAAAGTGGAATCGACTGGAGGACAGAATCAGAGGATTCAATAATAAATTATGGCCAGAAGACCATAAAGTGACATGGCTTGAAAGCTTCCCCAATAGGGCAGCTTCATACTGAATGGAAATGGAACAACCTATTCAGATCCTCTCAGGGAATTTACAAGACATTTCAAAGAGTTAGTAAAGAGTGCTGTAGAAATCGAGAAAAACAGAAAATGCCATAAAGAAATGCCACATGGGCACTATTCTGATTAATCCAATCAATGGGCCAGGCACTCTTCTAGGCACTGGGGGCATAGCAATGAACAAAACAAAGTACATTCCCTCATGGAGTTTGCATTCTCATGAAGAAGAGTAGTGAAATGAACAAATACATTAGGTGATGATAAATGCTAGGAAGAAAAAAGCAGGGTTTGAGGGCCAGAGACGGGATAGAGAGTGTATTTGTCTGTTTCTGTTATAACAAAAACACCTAGAACTGGGTAATTTGTAATTAAATGAAATTTATTGCTTACAGTTTCAGAGGCTAGGAAGTCCAAAGTCCAGGGAACACATCGGATGAGGGCCTTCCCTGGCAGTAATGCAGGGGTCTCACATGGCAGAATATGGTGGAACAGAGATTCTCACGTGCCCTTCTCTTAAAGCCCCCAGAACCACACCCCTAACCACCATTATTAATCCATTCACTAGGCACGGTCCTTCAATCTAATCACCTCTTCAAGACCCCACCTTTCAATTACCATAATAGGATTTCTCACCCTCAACAGTTACAGTGGGAATTAAGCTTCTAATATATGAACTTCAGGGGACACAATTCAGTCAACCCACAGCAGAGAGTTTTATTTTATACAGGGCAATCAAGAAAGACCTCTCTCTTTGATAAGGCCACACTTGAGCAAGGACCTGATTAAGTGAGACACTAGATATGTGAAGGAAGAGCACTCCAGGCAGGAGGGATGCCAAGTGCACACCCCTGAGGCAGGAGCATGCTGTGCATGTCTGGGAACAGAAAGAAAGTTAGCAACACTAAAGCAGGGAAAGCGGGAGCCACAGGTGAGAAAATAGCTGAGATCAGACCGCATCGGGCTTTCTAAGCATTGTGAGAATGTAAGGATAGGAAGTTTTTTGAGCAGAGCTGTAACAGATCTGACTTATGTTTTAAAAGGGTTATTCTCTGAGAGAAGTTTTGATGCTGAGAACAATTAAAGAAACCTATCTTCAAAAAGCAAAAGGATATGGGATCTAGTGCACAAGAGAGAGAAGAGCATATTAGGACTAGTAATACTAGGTACACTTATAGTAAAACAAGGTAGCACTTATAAGGCACTTACTGTGTGTCAGAAACTAAGTAATTTTACATGGATTAACTTACTTAACTCTTGTAACAACCCTACAAGGAGAGTTTTCTATTATTGTTTTGACTCTCTAGAAGAGGAAATTGAGGAATGGTGGCTACTTAGTAGGTGTGGGAGTCAGAATTCCACACAGGTAGGCAAACTCAAGAGCCCCTGCCTTTATGCTATATTATATTGCCTCACTAGAAGCAGAGACCATGGCATCATGAAACTAAGCACAAGAATAGCAATCAATACCTCTTTTTCTGAGAACAAGACCACTAGTGTTGCTGTGGAGAAATTATAATTGCTTTTCTATTTCCAGAGTCCCTATTGTGTCCTGAGCAGGGATAAATGATGTTCCAGTTCTCTTCTGGGCTTGTATAGCTGTTGAGAATTTGTTCCTTACAAAATGATAGAGTTCTTACCATTTTGGAGTAAAACAGCCCAACTACTTCCCTTATTCGGGATGCTGTACTTAAATTACATAACCCGAGATTGTGTCAGCTTTTCTGGCACCACATATCATTGTAGTTTCATCATCAGATCAGTGCTTTGCTCACATATGCTGTTTGTTTGGACCAAAGTATACAATTTGAAATTTATACTCATTAAATTTCATTTGGTTATTACTCCTTTTCAGTGCTGTTGAAGTTAACAAATGTCAAAAGGCAACTTTTAAACATATTTAGAACATATTAAGCATTGCTAAAATAACCTTCCATGTGACAACTCATTTGTATGTGTACATTTGTATATGTTAAAAATTGTCACTCCACAGAATCAACAGATACTATCTATATTTAATAAGAAGGTATAAGCATACTGTCTATACAGTGTCTCAAACTTCAGTCATTTATATACTATATTCATGACCATCACCTGTATTAATATTTTTTTTCTTTTTGGCAGCTGGCCAGTAAGGGAATCTGAACCCTTGACCTTGGTGTTATCAGTACCATACTCTAACCAAGTGAGCTAACCAACCAGCCCTTGATATTTTTCTTTAATTTGGCTCACTTTTCCCCTATAGTCTGGTAGGGGGACACACATTTTCTTCAAATGCACACTTAAACACTTATACACGTAAGTTTAAATGTAATGTTTATCCATGTATCACCTGAAATCATTTTGAGTATCACTATACGTACCACACTCTGGTAAACACTAATTTGTATAGGTGGAAATAACTACCAAAAGAGTAACAAGAGATTGCCTCGGGGTGTGGGACTGAGGGGTGGGGAGACTTGTTTTTCATCAAAAGCACCTCCATGTATATGTATTGCTTTACTAAACAGGAAATATTTAAACTAAGTAAAAGAAACTAAAATTCTGTCACACTAAATCACTTATATTCTGCCTGGCAAAGTGTATCACTTGTATTCTGGCTGGCAAAATAGTATGCACAAAATAACTACCCCCAAATATTTCTATATTTCATACCTATTCCCTATGATTTTATTTCAGCCCCACACTTGTGTTGCTCAAAACTGACATGCATGCACCCAAATTCATTCACAAAGTTTTAGGAAAAAAGACAGTTACCCACTGCAAAATGAAAACTTTCAATGTTTTATTTTTGACTGCAGCTGTTTACAGAAATATAGTTGCGAGTATACAAATGTTCCAATAGAAGCAAAATATCTTTTTAATATTTAACAAGTTATCACAGATAGCTAAAAACATAGATGCAAATGAAATTCCCCCAGAGAACAAACTGTAAATATCTGGTATCAGTGCTCTGAAATCCCAACTATGAAAGCCATATACACAAAAATGTAACCCTTATGTCATTGCAGGACAATGGAAGAAGGCAGTTCAGTGGTTGATCAGTGTGCTCAAGCAAATTAAATAAAAATTTAAAATGGCAGAATGGTAGCTAAACCACTTAAGAACAGGTTAATGAAATATTTGTAGTGTATTTATTAAAAGACTAAGTAAAAGAAGTCAATGAAACTAGTAAAAGTTGTCAAAAAAGTAGCAACTTCTTGGAGCTTATTAGTTAGAGGTAAGGGAGCAAGGTGAGCTGATACATTCATTAGATCAAAAGAAATTAGCTCAAGTTCATGGGAATCAGTCTGTAGCTTTTAAAGTCACAATCACTTCAGTGCAGGACAGTTCTTTATTGGACACAGAAGTCTGATTCCAAACCCACTTTCAAACATCTGAGATCTTGCATGTGTGTGTGGTGTATGTGTGTGTATATGTTGTCCTGAGGTTTATTAGCTAAAATAATAACAATAATAACAATCCCTACAAAATATTTCAAACCAGAGAAATAACTTCTGGAATAGAGAGAGTGAGCAAGCAAGCGGGCGTGTGCAAGCATGGGTGATATGGTTAAACACGGAATTTTTAAAGGAGGTATTACAAGTTGGAGTTGAACAGAATAGTGGTAGAATGCTTTGGATACAGGAATATATTCTGCAGTAAAGTTGAAAAGAGGGAAAAGGGAATAAGAAAGGAGGAATGTAACTAGACCATCTCCTAACAGTTTGCCTATGTATTTGCCAGCACCAAAGGTTGTAGAGTAAGCCACTTACATTTCCACTGCTAATATTAAGGAAAGACAGCAGTGGTGATTTTTATAAAGCGAGTATACATTTATTTCTATTCTGAAATGTGAATTTTTCTTTCATGAATTAACTAATTGGTGATTTGTAAACAGTGGGAAGAAAATTAGAACAATTATGGAGGTACTGAATTACACAAGGAGATTAAAATGAATGAATAAACCTACTTACCTTGTGATTAGTTTATATTTACCATGATGTATACAATTGAGAAGAAATGCCCAAATTATATAATGCATCATCTTGTTTAATATTTATTTTAGTAAATAACTCTTGTCTGAAGCATAAGGCTCCAAGCTATATCTCTACTGCATTAGTTCTTATGCAAAGCAAGCTACTATTAAAGTATTACTTATTTTAAAAAGTAATAAGAAATTAAATAAGGTAGGTGCTATGTTGACCTGGCTAGCCATCTTGTTTACTATCCCAGATACAAATATAAATACAAGGAATGATCATTTTGCTCTGAGAGTTAGTCTAACCACAGCAAAATTGTGGTCTGCTGGTAAAGTAAGAGGCAAAAAAAAAAAAAAAAAAAAAAAAGCTTGTATTACACTGCCCACAATGTACCCACTTTGTGGATAAACAGGAGACATTAGCACCCGTCAATTATATTAGCTATTTAAATGTCATAACAATTAAAAGAAATATAGAACATTGCACCTATATAGTTAAATCAGTCACTTAATGTAAACTTTTAGAAAGTGGTAGGAAAATGTCAAACTAAGTTAACTGAGTTATCAATAACTAGACTGTGTACATACAATATACTGTATTTCTATGGGCAGTACTGAGAATAATTTATCATTGCCAGTAAATGATTATAGATAACCAGGTTAAACTCAATTTACATAAAAAAATAATACATAACTGTATCTGTATGAGTGGAAAAAAACTTTCTAGCTCTCACTAGATATAGTTTACACTAGTGGCTCTCAAACTTTAGTGTACATCAGAATCACCTGAAGGGCTTGTTAAAATACAGATTGCTGGGCCCCACTCCAGAGTTTATAATTCAGTATGTCTGGAATAGGGCCCAAGAATTTGCATTTCTAACCAGTTCCCAGGTGATACTGATGATAGCTGGTGGGCTGAGGACCATACTTTGAGAACCACTGGCTTACACAGACTACATATGTAGAAAATGATATACTATAATGTTCTTATCTACATGACACAAAATATACAGGAAGAGGCTGGTTTTAATTAACTCTCAAATATAAAGATTAGCAAGGTGAACATTTTAATGTTTCTAAAATGATATGCTAAAGTATAATCATTTCCCTTTACAGTCAATTACATTTCAAAGTCTTAAGTCCTACTACACAGTCCTTTTAGAAAATATCCACATAACACTTATACCAAATCAGCTATCCAAAATAAAAAGGGACATAGCATTCTAAATAATTAAGATGTATTCATTAAGAAGGAATCATCACTATATAGCATTCTTGGCTTCTTTGGAATGATTAAAGTGCATAATATCAATCAGGTATTAAGAATATTGCATAAAGGTTTGCAGTCTTCAGTGCCACTAACAGTCATAGAAATGCTTGCATGGGGAAGGTAGCTCTATCCCAAAGGTACTACACTCCTGACCTGTCACTGATGGCCTTTTTTTCAAGCACCATCACTGTGGTAATCAGCTGTAATAGATGCAAAAATAACCAAAAGGAAGGACACTCAATACAATTGTATCTGGTCAAAAGGAATTATTATCTTAGGTCTGGAGGGACACATATATAACTTCTTCCTCATTTCCTTTGACACTATTTTTCCTAGGCAAATTAACTGAGTTTCTGATGGGCAAGAAGTACACTATAATGAACTACTTTGCCCTGTCTAGTTAGAAAAATTGACATTACCAGGCCTTACTTAAACTATGTTTTCATGGTTTATTTTCATCTAATTGATATCAGAAAAGATGCTTTAAACACTTCCTTCCTAAAATTTAGCTACACGCATTTGTGTGCAGGGAGTCAGTAAAATTCTCATTAGTATTCAGATAAGACCTATCATTAGTTGGTTGAGATGAAGAAAAGTTATAGTTAATTCATATAAAGCCTAAACAGTATAATTCTGTAATCCTTTACTTACCCTTTCCCAAAGGAACAATTCTAGCAATGCGTTTTTTTTTTTTATTATTCTTAAGCCAAAGAGACTTATGAAGTTGTTTTCTATGGTGACCAAAAAATGAAGAAAAGGATGTCTAAATGGAAAAAGTGAAAGTTGGGACCTGTTAAAACTATTTACATGTTTTTGGCAATAGTGAAAAATGAAACCGTAAGAAGGGGGCACTATCATGGTAAAAAGGCACTTTTTCATAAGCATTTAATCTAGATATAAAATACTAATTTAAAAATTTTCCTGAAAGAGAAAGTGGAGTAAAAATAGAATTTTATTAATAAATGAGATTAGAACGGAATGAAAATAAATAGGGATTAAAGAAGTAATTAGAGCACTGGGGGAATTCACAAATGATATTATATTCTCATATTTACTACATTATGAACATTATCTCTACCAACATAATTTAGCTCTAGCAACACAAATAGGCAGAGGAAAAATCCTCTTTTTAATAACTGTTATGAGATTCTACTATGCCACTTACTAGGGTACATACTCTAAGTTATTTGTCTAATGTGTCTGCTGAACTCCACAGTCTCTCTCATTCATTGAGTCCCTCCACATAGCCAAAGGCATGCGATATAAGATGGCTGTCTTGGATAGGGATAAAGCCTATTGTCATGGAGCAGAGTAAAGCTAAAAGACCCTAAATAATTTTCAGTTAATTAAAAAAAATCAATTAGGAAACAGTTATTATGACAGAAATTCTCACCAGGAATATGAAAATTTCTCAGATTACACCTAGTGAATATTTATAATCATATTGAATTTGAGACTTTAATTATGAAATAATTTTATTCTGGTCCTTATTTGTTGATGCATCTAACAGATTTCACTTTTCCAAAACAGTTATAATGGCCTAAATGGTCAAAAGGAACTACCATCTTAGTTCTGGAGGGACGCAGATATAACTTCTTCCTCATTTCCTTTGACACTATTTTTGCTACATAGGTTAGCTGAGGTTTTAATGGGCAAGAAATGCACTAGAATGAAATTCCAAACTATAGGCATATGACACTACCAAAAAAAGAAAAAAAGCAAGTTCAGAAGGATGTAAGGATGGAAGAATGGAAGGAAGGAAGGAAAAACCTCTCATTAATACTGCTTCTTTAATAAACAGAACTCTTTAAAAACCTGTTCTAGGGAGACTAGATAAAACAAATTTGCATTGGCTAAATAACAACATGATGATACTCTAATCACAAAGGTAACTAAAGCTCAGAAGCAAAATATGCTGTGTGATTATCTTCTCTCATGTTGGTGTGGATATATAATGGAATGACAATAAGGAATAAAACATACACCCACCCACCCACACACACACACACACATACACACACACACACACACACAGATAAGCTCCAAGCATTAATGTGAGTTGCTAAAAGTAAGAACATTTGAATGTTACATTATAAAGAAATAAAATGTGGTTCACAGTTTATTTAGGTCCTTCTGCCATAAATAAATTTAATAAATTGTTGTTTCCAAGGCCTTTGCTGGCTCACTGATTCTCTCCCATATGTAAATATAACTTGTAACAGTAATTTGAGAAACTGCATTATTAGCACAAGTATCAACCACTGAGCTAACTCTTCAACAAGACAAATACTCTTCGTAACCAAATTGTATATTCAGAATGTTGTACTTAACATTGTTGACCTTTAGGGATAAGGAACATTTAACAATGTTAAAAAAAAAAAAAGAAAGAAAAACTATCATTATTGAATAAAAATATGATAGCATAGAACAGCCCTTGTATAAATAACCACAAAATTTATGAGAATAAAAATTGGGTTTTCTGCCTCCACACAATCAAACCACTACAGTTCAGGTATATGTTCTGCTCTAAACTTAGATATTATAAAACAGAAAATTGGTCCCAGTGACTTGGCATTGCCAATCAGCATTTTACAATGATAAACTTCTTGCTAGATCACAGAATAGAAGTCAGCACACAAGCCAGTCTTCTTGCCACCACTTCATCCACAGTGCAGTATTAATGAAGATTCTAATTGGAATTGGTGAGCAAATAGACACTTCTTGAATCTTCTATATAATTTCTTATAAAAAATTCAGAAAATTTAGAAATAAACTTCCAGTTTTTAGTTTTTACTTCTTTTTATACCTGCCAGGTTTGCTTTCTCTGACATTACAGTCGACCCTCTAGGATTAGAGTTTTACATTTTAAAACTGAAGCACTGGATTGTGTAGCTGATCCTTTTCATAACCTGAATTACATTGGGTAATTTTCCCTAATAGGGGCTGAGGAAGAAGAGAGATATTAAGGAAAATACTTTTGGTTCAGAGAATTTATAAAGGAGCTCTGTATATTAATTACAAGATGGGGAAAATGTTATTAAAATTACAAACATGTTTTTTTTTTAGTGTCTTTATAAATAAAAGGCATAGAATACAGAAAGCCAATTAATAATAACAACAACAATAATAAAATATTAAATATATAGTGAGCAAAGACTGAATGGCTCATTCTTGTGAAACACCATTTGACACAGTGCCTTGATGGGTTTCCTTACTCTAATATTTTGCTGAGTGAAAGATCCAGCAAACACACAGTAAGCTGCCTTTAGCCCACTAATAACATTAAGGAACTGCCTGATGGAATGGCCACAGATGAACAGATCATTTGTTTCAAAAGATACTTAAATACTCAATAAAGACATAACAAACCCTCCCCCCCTCACTGTTATCAGACGCCACGTTGTGGTAGAACATCAGACAAACTCACAAATTTACCACAAAAATGTGTGGCAAAAAAAGAATAGTTTATATATGTATATATATATATAAATTTCTATATTTATGCCAATGTACTCACTCAGTACAAATAGCAAAATAGTATACCATTTCCTAAATACAAAATATAGCTTTCCAAAAAAATGAAACACGCATTAGATATAAACCATCCAAAACTTGAACGATTGAAAACTGTATTCAAAATTAAATGACCCAGAGTAGGTCTCTTTCTGAAAAGTTCCCTTCATATCGGCAAAAAGCCTGTACTACTGAAAACGTAATTCAATGCCTCTCAATCAGAGAGAGAAAAAAAGTAAGGGTTAGGGGTGGTGAGAAGAATATATAAGAATAAAGAGAGAAAAACAAAGAAGAGCACATTCAAATAACAAAGGAAGACCATCACAAAAAGGGGGAAAATCTGGCTATATAAACAAAACCAACACCACAATTCCACACAGTTAAAACTAAATGTATAGGAGAGAGAAAAAAAAAAAAAAATCAAACAGAAAAGTAGTTTTCAACAACAATTAACAGGCTATTTTTTGTACACTTATAAATTAAACAGACAAGGATACCAAAACATTATACCAACACACAGAAGCCACACACGTTGGCCTTACACTGCATTGACAGCTTTCCACATGCCAAAAGGAAAATGAGACATAAGCATGTGTCCAGACACAGGTGGTAGTGAGAAGCAGGCATCCCATGGGTGGCAAGAACACCCAAAACTGTAGAACTAATGCTACAACTGCAAGTTCTGGAGTGTTATTTTGCTCTTTATAGATGTAACACAAGTTAATTCTTCATTTTAAGTCAATGATATGACCCTGTAAAGCCTAAGGCTTGTGGGAACCATCAGGTGAGTGACTACTTCAAACTGTAAAGCACTGAGGTGACAAGTGAATTACACTCACTGCAGCTCAGGAAGAAGTGATGTTTCAAAAAATTTTACTTTGCCTTTTTTTAAAATTAAAATTTATACTGTTTACTATCAGAGGGAAAAATTTGTAGACTTCAGAACAGCACCGTTCATGGAAAAAAATGCATTGTTTCTCAGGAATCAACTTTTAATAATTCCTAACAGAGTACTCCCTGCCTTGTGCTGCAGGATTGCTAGGTCACCGTAGATTAAAGTGGACTTTTCCTTTAAGTTGCTACAGGGTCACAAAGCCAGTAGTTTATTAGTAGTTGTCTAAAATAAAGTGAAAAACATAATATAGACACATACAAAAAGAGAATAACAGCCTAAGTCTGGGATAAAAAGAAAACAGATTCCAATTACTCTGTCACTTTAAACTAACTGTAGGAGGATATAAGAAAAGAATTTAACATATATTATCCCCTTCAATTTTTATAGAGCAAGATAATTATTTTTCTATGCACAGTTATGGCTAAACCCCTTAGTAAAAAGAGAGAACTAACAACCGTCTGAAAAATAAAATCAATAGCATTCCAGCTGTCCCCAGTTTTGTAAGTATGTCATCTGCCTTTGTGTTAAATCAAGAGTCTCTTATTTGTGTAGAGTTCTTAATACAGCTTATTTGTCAGAATGTTACCCCTTCAGTTTCTCCATTAAAACTGAAAAAAGATTCCTTCACTTTGGCCAGCAGCTGTGCTTTTTATATTGAGAAAAATCACAGCCTTAGTTATTATTGAACTTTACTTTTTCTAAAGCCATTACTTGACTAAAACAATGCAGGAAAGAAAATAATGAAGAACATAAGTAAACATGACAAGTATTATTTTCTAATAGCAATAATAACTGAGTGGTCCAGCCTTGAATTTAAACTATACTTCTAAAGAAATTGTGCCTCAGAAAATAGCAACAATTAATTCTGTCAGCTGGAAAATCAAATAGGTTCTCAGTCATCACTGTTATTAGGAATATAAAATACGAAAATGTTAACATTGGTGTCTAATCACGGCAACAGGCTACATAAGTGTGCTCTTTTGCAGTCAGAGGAAAATCTATTCATTTACTCAAATACAGTTTTTCATATTTTGTTTTGTTTTAAAGTAACAGTTCAATCCTCATGGAACCTCAACATCTCGGGACATCTTGGAATCAGGATTTTCTTCCTGGAATTTCTAAAAAAAGAAAAAATGAAATGTAAGTCCCTAGGGAGGAAAAGTATTTAAAATGTTCCTGTCATCTTGAATGATCCCAAAATATATTACAGTACTAGAAATGAAATTTTATCTTATTTGTTCTTCCACAGACTCAATATTTATTTATTGAGGAAGGGAGAAATGAGACATGATCATACTCAATACACAGGACAAAGAAAACACATTTTATACATTCATCAGATGTTCTGTCATTCCAAGGCAAAGAAGTTTAGAACCAGAAGGAATGCCCAATATGAGGTTACTTCAATAAGTTCATGGAAAATTCAAAGGTAATACGAATGTTTCCGTAAACTTTTTGAAGTACTCTCATACAGGTTGAATCCCTTATCTGAAATGCTTGGGACCAGAGGTGTTTCCGATTTTGATTTTTAAAAATTTTTTTATTTTGAAATATTTGCATATATATAATGAGATATCTTGGGTATGGGACCCAACTCTAAACATGAAATTCGTTTATGTTTCATATACACCTTAAAATATATCACAGCTGAAAAGGGCTGCAAGTGTCTTTTTTCCCCTGGGGATGCTGATAAACTGTGTTTTGTGAGCCTGCATTTTGACTGCAACCCATCACATGAGGTCAGGTGTGGAATTTTCCACTTTGTTGTGTTATGTCGGTGCGCAAAAAGTTTCAGATTTTGGAGAATTTCAGATTAGGGCTGCTCAACCTGTATTAACAATACAACTATAAGCAATCACTCAGAGTAATTTATTCAGAGTAAAAAGGAACCACCTTCTGAGGAAACCATATTTTAAAAGATTAGAATCTAAACAGTACGATTAAACCCAAATCTGTTAAAAAGAATAAAATTTATTAATGTTTTTCAAAAAGAAGCCAAAATGCAATACTTACATATCCAGTTAAAAGGAGCCAGTTAAATTGTTCCCTTGGTTTTGCAATGAAACAAGCAAATCAATCTTTTCGATATTCTGGTTGGTATTTATAGAGGATGCCAGTGTAGAATTCTCTGGCATTTGTTGAGAAAGAAGTGTTGTTACAGGCGACTGGCCCTCATTTTGTGGCTGGCCTGGCTGACTTATGGCCATCAACTGATCTGGCAACGTAGCTGGTCCAGAGGTTAAAAGCTGACTACAGTCTGCAGAAACATTAAAAATAGAAGCTCCCTGATTAGTTAAGATTCATAAGATATTTATTAGTTGCTGAGGAAATTCATTACTACATTCACCAGTATTCATTCAGTATATTACTAAATATAATACATAATATAATATTACTAAATATAATATTCATTCAGTATATTACTAAAAGTGGAGCACCTGACAGTACAGAAAAGGTTTTCATAGAATGGTACCGGAATTCATCTTAGGTTTCCTCCACGCAGTATAAAAATACTACTTTGCTCAGATACGTAATTTCCTTGGTATGTACACATTAAAGACAGGTTTCTAACTCCTTAGAAACTACTTGCATTAATTGGCTGCAATATTATCTGTTATTCTTACTTCATTTTCCTTTCAAGTTCATAGCTTAAAATGGGAAACACATTTTTATACATTACCACATTTAAGCCTCCCAATATCCTTGTCAAATAATATCACCATGTTAGATGTGGAAATACAGGCCCATAAGGGTCAAATAACTTGTCCAAGATCTCAGTCTATAAGTGGTAGAGTACTTGTGCTCTTAAAATTACTGTATTTTGCCTCATTCTAACAAAAATAATAATCTGACCATTTCAATTAAGTAATGAGAAACTAGAAAAAGTTTCTTACTATTTTGAATGCCAAATAAGAACATTCCTGAAGTCTGCTGAGATGAGCTAGGAGAATTCTGTAGTTGGTTCATTGTGCCTCCTGGAGTATTGTGAAATAAAGTAGCCTGTGGTTGGGGTGAAGGTGTAGCTCCTTGGATTCCAGGCATATTATTCTGAGGGGAATAAAGAGGAGACTGTTGCATGTCTTGTTGATTTATACTGGTCTGCAAAGCAGACATGGATGCTGGAGAGAGAAAGAGTGTGACTTGCTGGTCTTGAGAATTAGGTGACCCTTGTACCAACTGAATTTGAGGAGAGCTATGGAACAAAGAGGTCTGTGATGATTCAGACTGAGTAGGACCTGCGTTCTGAAGTGAGGAAACTGTGGACTGATTCTGAAATTGCATGGGCTGCTGCTCCTGATTCATGGGGGCCATATTACTTTGTTGGTGAAAAATTGCCTGGTTCTGTTGTTCCTGATTAGCCATTGGATTTTGATTTGGGTTGAATATCATGTTTGGTGGTGGTTGCTTTTGAGATGCCATTGTAGCCATAGTATTCTGATTACTGAATAAGATGCTTTGCTGTTGTTGCTGCTGCTGTTGCTGCTGCTGCTGCTGCTGTTGCTCCTGGGATGGAGAATTACTCTGCATGGCCACTATTGAGTGCTGTGACTGGAAAATTGTTCCTTGTTGGTTCTGAGGCATTGAATTTGGTGGAAGGGAGCCCAGGGACACCTGGGGCTGAAATAAACCTTGCTGGGAGGGTTGCGCCTGTTCTTGTGAAAGCATAGGGGTCTGGATGTGTGACATTGGAGCTTGCTGCTGGAAAGCGGCTTGCTGTTCAGGGTTTGCTGTTGACTGAAGTGGAGAAATTGAGTTCTGTGCTGCAAAAAATGAAATCTGTTCTTCTTGGGCTACTGTGTTAGTTTGAAGATTATTCATAGGACTCTGGGAAAGAAATATGTTGGTTGACTGCTGGTCTTGAGGAACTGAAGGGCCCTGTAACACAGCAATGGTACTCTGGGAGTGAAACATTGGAGGCTGCATTTGTTCAGAGGAGGTTGTAGAAGTCTGACTGTGGACAATAGGATTTGGACTATGAAAAATAGAACCTTGAGTTTCCTGGGAGAGGTTCTGAGCATCAGCAATAGGATTTTGAGGATGAAAAAGCTGAGCCTGTGAATGAGAAGACTGCTGCAAAAAATTCCCAGATTGAAGTGACATCATCTCATTACCTTGCTGGAATAAACCATTACCTTGTTGCTGGGTACCACTATTCTGAACACTCATCATACTTTTTGTAGAAGAAAAAAGGTTAACTTGAGGTTGACTGTCTCCACTATGTTGCATTTGGACCATGGTCTGAAAGACACTGTTTTGAATCTGTTTTGCTTGTGCTCCAGTTTCTTCTCCATCTCCTGAACTTGATGCCTGAAACATGGTAGTACCAGGGGTTGCAACCTGCTGTGTGGTGGTTGTAGAAGTTTCATTTCCAGAAACTGCAGGAGGAGAAGAAAACAATTCACATTGCATTTGCATGTCCTCATTGGTGGATAATGCACTCATCATGTGAGAAGTCTGCTGGTACACTGGTGATTGCTGAAGGTTTCCATTTGCTGAAGCAGTTGAAGGAAATAACTCTGACTGAATTTGGGCAGCTGCCTGGCAGATACTCTGTTGCATCTCCATCACCATTGCAGCTGATGATTCCATCACTTGCTGTTGCTGCTGTTGCTGTTGTTGATTAGATAATGTGTTTTCAGTCTGTGGGTGAACACTTTCAGCTCTGCCAGATATTAAATTATCTGGTCTGGTATGGACTGTTGGCTCTGTTGAGGAAAACATTCCAGGGTTTACACTATTTTGAATTTGACTAACTTGTTGAAAAATGTCTGCACTAAGCTGTTCTTGAACATTCTCATTACCATCTGGAGCAGAAAATAAAACTGAGGATAACTGTTGTTGTGCCTCTAGAACTTGCTGAACCAAGTCAACACTTCCACTGCTGCCACTAGCAGTACTGCTTGTAAAACTTCCCGCTTGCAACTGCTGAATGGTATTCTGTAGCTGACTCACACTATTTGGTGATGGAAAAATATTTGATGCAATCTGCTGCTGTAAAGTCTGTGCTTGTTCTTGTAGTGGTGACTGCTGCTGCTGCTGTTGTGATGCCTCAGTCAGTTGTGACAAATTAACCACTGTACCATCTGACTGTAATACCTCTCTAGACTGAGCTTCTCTTGTTTGAAACTGTGTAGCCTGTTGCAGTAGTGCATCGTTGTTGGGCAGCTGACTAGAAGCAGAAACTGCTGGAAAGGTACCAGGTTGTGAGATGTCCTGTGTTTGGATAGTTGTCAAGGTCTCTGGGTTGTATGCCTTGGCCTGAACCTGTTGTTGCTTTTCATTTTCAGAAGATAAGTGGGAAGATGATGGTGATGAAAAAGACCCATTTCCTGCTATGTTAGAGATATTTTCTAATGTCTGCTGAGTTGATCCAATTGTCTTTGCAGTCTAAAAAAAAATCCCAAAATTATATATATATATATGTGCATTAAACAAGCTCAAGTAATACTTCAAAAATTATTACTGTTATAAAAATACATGCAGAACCAATTTTCCACTCTGTATCATTTAGAAAACAAGTGCAAGACTATGATTCTCCATAACATGATGTTTGATTGTCATCAGGATATGTTTTTTTTTTTTTTTTTCGTGACCGGCAACGGATCGCAACCCTCAGTGTCGCGCCCGCACCCCGCTCAGCCAGTGAGCAGGAACTGGTCGGTATGTGGGATCCGAACCCTCGGTGGGAGCGCCGCCGCGTTCCCAAGCGGCGCACTGTAGCAGTGCGCCACCGGGCCCGCCCAGGATATGTTTTTTTTTTTTTTCGTGACCGGCAACGGATCGCAACCCTCAGTGTCGCGCCCGCACCCCGCTCAGCCAGTGAGCAGGAACTGGTCGGTATGTGGGATCCGAACCCTCGGTGGGAGCGCCGCCGCGTTCCCAAGCGGCGCACTGTAGCAGTGCGCCACCGGGCCGGCCCAGGATATGTTTTTTAAAAGTGTTATAAGCAAATGTAGTCAAACAAAGAAGTAGAAGAACAATAAACTATTGATAAGCTTAGGCAAATTAAGGGTAATAAGAATACATTAATTCTATGGCTCATGAATAGCAGATATCAAAATACTTCCATTTTGTGGATCATCAGTAACATTACAGGGAGAAAAACAAGTAAAAATGGGAGGGAGAATTATGAGAAAAGACTGGGAAATAAAAAGAAATAAAAACATATCTAATTCTGAAAATACTAAAATTAGTACTTTTACTAATACCACACACATCTCACAGATCTAGCTAACATTAATTCCTCCCTTGTCAAAATGTATATTGGAAGTATTCACTCTGAAAAGAAAAATTCATTAAGTGCATCTAAAGTAAAACAAATGTGAAAGAAATAGGAAAAGTAAAATATAACAATTTTTATATGTGAGGTTAAGATTTGGGGCACTAGCAATATAGCTTACCTTAAAAATAGGGGAAGATCTTTTTTCTGCTGTTACTTCCATTGGAGTAACATCTTCACTCTTAATCATACTGCTTGATATGAGTGGAGTGATCAGGGCATTAGGAAGAATATTTACCTTATCTAAGTTACATCCAGTGGTTTTCATTGCTGCACACACAAAAATGAAAAGTTTAAAGTCACAAAAAACCCAACTATTTCATTCTATAATTTACTGACTATAAGTTATGATTTAAAGGCCTATTTTTTGGCTAGCTGGTTAGCTTATTTGATTAGAGTGAAGTGCTGATAACACCAAGGTCAAGGGTTCAGATCCCCTTACCAGCCAGCCACCCAAAAGAAGAAAAAAAAGTCTATTTTTTGATGCTATAATGGTAGCATGAGATACAAAACTGGTGTATCAAGATGAACCCTCCCTTTTTTGAAGTGCACAGGCTTGAGGACTCCTGGTATGGGCCTGAAATTACAAGCTAAATATTAACTACCTAAAACAATTCAATTATCAAGCTATATCCAAGACCCTTCAAAGTACCTTGAATTATACTACCAAACATGACTAGGGCATATTACACACATACACACACTCTCACACACAAGTATGAGTAAAACAGGAAATCTGAACAAGATCATTGGACTGTATAAATCAACATCCTGGTTGAGATTTCTTGTATTATATAAGACGTTAACATTGAGGGAAACTGGGTAATGGTACACAGAGTTCACATTCTAATAGAATTCAAAAGCAAGAATAAAGCAAGTTGAAAATTACAGGATCAACTTAATATAACACTGATGGTCTTTCAAAGTGTTCTGTGAGACAATCCAAGACTACTTTTAAATGCCTGCCCTTTGCATGATCTGAAGTTTTGTCTCAAAGTTAGATTGTGAGTTGAACTGTATTAGCATTGGAAAAATCTAGGTGAAAACAGTTCCAAAGATGAGTAAATGATTCATTTCTCAAATTATTTAGTAGAATAATAAAACACAGAATGACAAAAGTTAAACGAACACTTTCCCTTTCCTCAATGTAATCAATTAACATAGAAATTAGATTTTTAGCCAATTGGCTGTGAGGCAAGTTGAAGACCAGAAAGTTTCAAATATTTTTGGATCAAAATATTTACAAATGTAGCTATCCAACTTAAATACCATATGCCATTTTAAAATTCTCTTTGTAGCCAGGATTTCTTCTCAGTATCAAATTAAGAAATTAACAGCTATGATTTCTAGGGAATCTATGTTTCTCTCCACAGAGCCTCAAAGTAGTGGTAAACTTTTAGATCGGGATTTGGCTGTGTGCTCAGTTCAGAAGACTCTAGCAATAACAGTAGGCTCCACTAATTGCCAATGGCAGACTCAAGTAGATAAAAAAAAAAAAAAGAAAGAAAAGGAATCAAGGGATGAAAGTAGATATAGTGAAGTGGTAGAATCTACCTTATCTGCTATGTGTTGCCTTTCCTTGGTGCACATCTATAACTACTCCTCAAAATGAAAGTAGAAGGAGGTGGGAAATACTTTCTAGTTTTGCTTTGGAAATTTAGTTGGTAAAACCTAAAATAGTTCTTATTTCTGAAAAAAAAATATTTTAAGTCCCGTCTAAAAGAGCAATGTGTTCAAGTGTCAACTTGACAAATTCAAGTTTTCTAAGACATTAATTTAGAAAAGCAAAATTTACTAATTACTTGGTGGCATTTTCTTTTTTTTTTTTAAAGATGACCGGTAAGGGGATCTTAACCCTTGGCTTGGTGTTGTCAGCACCACGCTCAGCCAGTGAGCTAACCGTGCATCCCTATATAGGATCCAAACCCATGGCCTTGGTGTTATCAGCACCGCACTCTCCTGAGTGAGCCACAGGCCGGCCTGTTGGTGGCATTTTCTTTTTTTTTAAAGATGACCAGTAAGGGGATCTTAACCCTTGGCTTGGCGTTGTCAGCACCACGCTCAGCCAGTGAGCTAACCGTGCATCCCTATATAGGATCCAAACCCATGGCCTTGGTGTTATCAGCACCGCACTCTCCTGAGTGAGCCACAGGCCGGCCTGTTGGTGGCATTTTCTAATGAGAAGCTTGAATTTTGTTGAGGAGAGAAACGCTCAAACAATCTCATAGCCCTTAAAAAGTTTTGAGACTTTATATTGCCAGGCAGCAATACACTAAGAGGAGAGTGAAATGGTTGTAACTGAGCTTTAAACTCTTGAAGATTTCCAAGCTGTGTCCTATAATATCCCTGGTCATGTTTGGTAGTATAATTCAAGGTACTTGAAAGGGTCTTAGGGGATAATTCAGGCTCATAGCAGGAGTCCTCAAGCCAGCGCACTTCAAAAAAAAGAGCGTTCATCTTGATACACCAGTTTTGTATCTCATGCTACCACCACAGCATCAAAAAATAGACATTTTTTTTTGCTGGCTGGCCAGTACGGGGATCCAAACCCTTGACCTTGGTGTTATCAGCATCTCACTCTAACCAAGTGAGCTAACCAGCTAGCCAAAAAATAGACATTTAAATTATGACTTATAGTGAACAAATTATAGAATATAACCTTCTGTGATTGGTTTTTTTCACTCAGCATAATTCTCTGAAGATACATCCAAGTCGTTGCGTGTATCAATAATTCATTCTTTTTAATTGATAAGTAGTATTTCATGGTATGAATGTACCACACTTTGCTTAATCATTCATCCATTGAAGGACATATAGGTTGTTTATAGTTTTTGGCTATATGAATAATGCTGTTATGAACATTTGTGTACAAGTTTTCTATGTCAATATAAACTTCCATTTGTCTGTGATAAATGACCAAGAGTATAATTGCTGAGTCATACAGTTACTACATGTTTAGTTTTATAGGAAACTGCCAAACTAGTTCTCAGAATGGCTGTACCATTTTACATTCCCACTAGCAATGTATGACAGCCAGTTTCTCCACATCCTCACCAGCATTTGGTGGTCTCACTATTTATCATTTTAGCCATTATGATGAGTACGTAGTAAAAACTCATTGTGGTTTTAATTTGCATTTACCAAATGGCTAAAGAAGTTAAATATCTTTTAATATGCTTATTTCCCATCTGTATCCTCTTCATGAAATATCTGTTCATGTCTTTTGCCCATTTTCTAATTGGATTTCTGGTTTTTTCAACTATTGAGTTTTGAGAGTTCTCTGTATACTTCAGCTGCTAGTCCTTTCTTGGACATGTGGTTTACAAATATTTTCTCCCAGTTTGTAGTTTGTCTTGTACTTTCACCCTCTTAACAAGATCTTTCATGGAGCAAAAATTTTAATTTTGATGAGGTTCAATTGTATCAATTTCCCCTTCTATGGACTGTGTATTTGGTATCAAGTATAAGAATAAGAATTGTTTGCCTAGCTCTAGATCCTAAAGATTTTCCCCCATATTTTTTCTAAAAGTTTTATACTTTTACATTTTACATTTAAGTCTGTGATCTATGTTGGGTTATCTACTTTGTATAAGGAGTGCAGTTGAAGTCCATGTTTATTTTTTTGCCTACTGATATCCAACTGCTACAGCACCATTTGCTGAGAAGTCCATCTTTTCTCTGAAATGCTTTTTTGCCTTTGTCAAAAATCATTTGGGTATATTAGTGTGAGTCTATTTCCGGGTTCTCATTCTGTGCTACTGATCTATCCCTCCACCACTACCTTGATTACTGTAGCCACACAGTAAGCCTTAATATTGAGTAAGGTGATTTCTTCCATTTTATTCTTTTTCAAGATAATTTTGCATATTCTAAGGCTTTTGCCTGCCTTTCTATATAAATTTCAGAATAAGCTTGTTTATGTCTACAAAAACTACTGGAACTTTGATACTAATTGTATTAAACTTTCAGGTCCATTTGGGGAGAACTGACATCTTTATTATGTTGAATCATCAAACCATTAGTATGATCTCTCTCTGCATTTATTTAGGTCTTCCTTAATTTCCTTCATTAGTATTTTGTAATTTTCATCATATAGATTCCGTACTTTTTAAAGTTTATACCTAGATATTTCTTTTTCTTTGAAGCCATTGTAAATTATATTGTGCTTTAAACTTTGGTTTCCATATCCTCATTGTCAATATATAGAAATATAATTGATTTTTGTGTGTTGACCTTATATCCTGTGGCCTTGCTGAACTCACTAATTGTCCAGTTCTAGGAGTCTTTTTTTTTCCTACATTACTCATGATTTTAAACCTACATAATCACGTCATCTGCAAATAGGGACAATTTGTTTCTTCCTTTCCAATCTGTATGCCTTTCTTTCTTTTTATTACCTTACTGCAATGGGTAGAATTTTAACTACTATATTGAATAAGAGTGGTGACTGGACATCCTTGCTGTGTTCTCAATCTTAGCACTCAGTCTTTACCAGTAAGTATGATGTTAGCTGAAGGTTTTTTGTAAATGCTCTCTATCAAATTGAGGTATTGCCTCTCTACTTCCTAATTTGCTGAGAGTTTTTATCACGAATGGTGTTAGATTTTGTCAAATGCTTTTTGTGTGTCAAGTGATATGATGATATGATTCTTCCTCTTTAGCATTTTAATATGGCAGATTATACTGATTGCTTTTCTAATCTGAACCAATCTTACATACCTGAAATAAATCCCACTTGGTCATGGTATACAATTATTCTTACTAGCACCATGCTCTAACCAAGTGAGCTAATTGGCCGGCTCTTATTTTATACATTGTTTCATGTGATTTGCTAATATTTTGCTGAGGAATTTTTTTGTTCATGACGGATATTAAGTCTTTTTTTTTTTTAATGTCTTCATCTGGTTTTGATATCAAGGCAATACTGGCTTCATAAAACAAATTGAGAAGTGTTCTCTTCTAGTTTCTGAAAGAAACTATGTAAAATTTGTGTTAATTGTTCTTTAAATGGTTAGTAAAATTCTCCAGTAAAGCCATCTGGGTACAAGGATTTCTCTTTTGGGAGCTTTATAATTACAAATGAAATTTCTTTAATGGTTATAGGACCATTCAGGCTATCTATCTCATCTTGCTTCAGCTTGGTCATTTGCAGTTTTTGAGGGATTGGTCCATTTCTTCTAAATTGTCAAATTTATGATTCTAAAGGAGATTGAGGTGTTCCCTTATTCATTTAATGACTGAAGGATCTGCAGTGATCCCTCTGTTTCATT